CCAGTCACTGATCTCATTATAAGACACTACCATGTTCTTGAAGGTCATTTGGGTACTTCGCAAGTACTATCAAGTATTCGATGTAAGTTCTGGATAGTGAAGGGAGGTACTGCTGTCCGTAAAATAATTGATAAGTGCATGGAATGTAAACTCCGAAATGCTCGTCCAGTACAGCAGATGATGGCACCACTCCCAGCGTGGCAAGCTTCTGAAGGGAATTATCCATTTGAGTACGTTGGGGTGGATTTGTTCGGACCTTTTGTAGTGAAGAGAGGCAGAACCCTATGTAAAAGATATGGCTGTTTATTCACCTGTTTGAAAATGAGAGCTGTGCATATTGAGATGGTTCATACGCTAACTACTGATTCATTCGTGCTAGCATTACATAGATTTATAAATCGCCGGGGTGTACCGAAGATGATGTTCAGCGACAGAGGGACTAATTTTGTTGGCTGTCACGCCGAGCTTAAAGAGTACTTCGAAGGTCCCAAACGAGAGTTCATGAAGAGTTACTGAAAAGGAACATCGAGTGGCACTTCAACCCACCACATGCCAGCCATAGAGGCGGGCTATGGGAAAGACTTATAGGAATTATCAAGCGTATTTTAAGCTCCATAATTAAAAACCAGAGTTTGAATGACGAAACGCTGGAGACATTTTTTTGTGAAGCTGAACGAATATTAAATGACCGGCCGTTATCACCTGTGAGGGACGACGTCAAGGATTTTGATGTGTTAACCCCAAATAAATTATTGTTATTGAGAGGCAACCCTGGCATAGAGGACTCAAGCGGGGAAGGAATACCTACGATTAAAAGATGGAAACAAGCCAGGCACATGAAAGATATATTTTGGAAAAGATGGTTAAAGGAGTATGTTCTAACACTGCAAACCAGAGACAAGTGGAAAAAGTTGTGCCGAAACTTAAAGGTTGGTGACATAGTATTAGTAGCAGATAAATGTGCCACAGGTAGGTGGCCTTTGGGAGTGGTAGTAAGGCTAATCTGTAGTGGTGATGGATTGGTGAGGACGGTTGAGGTGAGAACAAGTTGTGGAATGTTGGTGCGAGATATTAGAAAACTGTGTCTACTGGAAGGTGCTGAGAGTCGAGAGTCGGAGGATGAAACACTAGACGATTTTCCAACCTAGAGCGTCAACCTGAGAAGGGTTGTAGGCGTACTGCTGTAAGTCCTACAATTCTTCAAAGGGTAGCGCATCAATGAGCAGTCCAATGTGCTTGGTGTGTGATTTTGTACATATGTTCATATTGTATATACTGAATTGATATCATCTGTCATCTAGCTGTTGGTAATTCTGTTTGTGTCCGGACGACTTCCACTTGGATCATCAACCTGAGAAGGAATGTAGGCGTACTGCTGTAAGTCCTACAGTTCTTCAAGGGTAGTTTGTCGTGCCAGAATCCACAACATTTGATGTGTTGATTGTACATATGTTTGTGTTAAATAATTGTGTGAGTTCCAATTATTGTAATTGTTGGTTAATCTTGTTTGTGTCCGGACATTCCACAACTTACAATCGTCAACCTGTGAAGGGTTGTAGGCGTACTGGTGTAAGTCCTGCGATTCTTCAAAGGAATTCCATCGAGACATGATCTGCGAGTTTGTGTGTATGTATGTGTGGTGTGTCATATCAATTGGTGTTTTTGGATTCATTGTGTTTACTTGTTGTTTTCGTACCTTGTTGTTATTGCGTAATTTTGTTAAAATTTTCGTCGTGATTACTTCTGAAGTTGTTTCGAGTCTTCTACATCCGTGAATGAATTGATTGATGTTAAGGACAGCAGATGGGTCGTATACGCCGAGGAGGCTATTGCTGAGAATGAAATGCATACGGAGATAATTGTTAGCTGCGGTCCCACACGCCGGGGAGAAAGAGTGTAAACGACTGAGGCTCGCATACGTCACCGTTACTAGAACTGAGGCAGAATGAGTGACAAGCGATTGCAGTGGTAATTGGTAGTGAGTAGATAAGAGGGTGTGTGTAGAGTATCGTGAGGTGGTGCTATGGTCACGTTGCATTCTGCAAGAGTCATTCTAGCAAGTGGCGATTGTGTTGCAAGAGGATGCCTTTAACTGGAAGGCGCAGGTCGTCATTGATGTGTGAGATTGTGCTGTGGGTATGCTTGTGGTGTGTTGGCTTTTCTGTTTGTTTTCCATTTCAGCTCTGTCCGTGTGACCCAGGTTCTCGCAATGGCATCCAAGTCAACGTGTATTGGTCGTGATGGAAAAAAGGGATGGATCCATTTTTTGCCGGGGAGTGTCAATGTAGTTGAAGATTGAACGATCAATTCATGGTTGTTTGCTCAAAACCAACTTCCCCAATTTTCGCGGAGGCATCAATACGACAGTCATCGTCTCATCGGTCGCTGTTCAGAAAGAAGTCAGGAGACAACTGTCAGAAGTAATATTGTGATTTATTATTGTAATATTTGTTCACAGACCTTAGTTGTAACATTTTTTATATGTTGGTGTTACAATAAGCAATCCTCGAGTCACCAATTGGTGTTTTGGTTTTTTCGTCCGTTATTACTAAGCGTTTGTGAGAGACTACAAGGAACAGCGTGAGCCTGACTGCACCCAACGCTGGGCGTTTACGCTTTTTGTGGCTTGGCTGACACATGCACTGCTTATAGTTTCTTGACCTGACATTTTGTTGAGAGCAATCTTGCCAAAATGACAGAACGTATATACGTCAATGGTATGTCGCAAATATTAGTGGTGAGTTAATTATAACAAAACTGATTCAGCAACCAATCTCAGCAGATTTACTTAGGCAAAGCAGTTAACATGTAGATAAACTGTCATTCAAGAAACAGTCAAAAAGAAATGCAAAGTCAACTTTCCGTGAGAAACAACCAATCAAAAGACTGCGTTTGTTTGCTTGAAGAAGCTATGTTAATGTACATGAAAATATATAAATACGTGTTGATTTCCTCAATAAACTGTCTGTTGCCTGGCCCTTGTCTTCTGTTGTGACAATATTGATAAGTGCTTTGAAGTGGATGATTATAAATTCCTATTCAGATTAATTGAACTGGGATTTTTATTTGGTTTAATAACCACTAAGGAACATTTTCTTTTCGACGACATTGGAGCATTCGATTGGTTCTGCCTATATAGGTGTCACTGCATATGCAGGTTAGTTATAAAGGGAAATGATATCATATCGCGAAATATGTCTTCTAAATGCCAAACTCATATAACTATTTATCCATATCTCTATATTCATTATTATACGGCCACCTGTCGAACACCATTGACTCTTTTTTATCTCGACATTTGTTTTACTTACAGTGAAGCTATTGGTAATAAAATCCCCAGTTCATGTCACTACAGTTAATTAAGCCACCGAGGATGTTTTGAACAAGATAATTTATTCAAGTGTATCCACCATTAATCCAGTTTCTGAGTCCTACAGGTGATTTATGCCTTTAAAATTAGAAATTTTTCCAAGTGTAACAGGCGGGAACTAGAAGTTGACCCATACATACAAAAAAGACTTAAAAAGATGGTTAAATAGACAGTTCCTGACTCAAACAGCGCGCTTCTTCCCCCTATCTGTTTGTTACATACAGCATATTAAGAAACAATTATGTACGCTTCTGATCTTCACTTTTCTTTCCTACGGTGTAGTGTAATCAAAGAAGAGGCGGTAAATGAGATCAAAGAAGAATAACTCATATTATAGCAGGAAATATATTATCCCAGTGTTTCAGTGACTGTTCGGACTGGAAGTGCTTTCCGATGTGCATACAAAACAACCAACGAAAGTTAATAAGGCAGGATTGATGCAATTCATCTAATTTCAGTAGAACTCTACAGCTGAGTAGTTACATACAGGATATAAAATTAAGATAAATGCACTACGGTTCAATTACATCACTTAAATAAACAATTAGTTATCAGTGAGTGAAAGAACTCAAATATATATCAAGAGTTGCGAACCAAATTATACTGGTAATAATATTAATGCTAATAACAGTAACAATAATGATGATCAATAATAATAATAATGATCAGTAATAAAAATGTTGAAATGAGTTAAGGTAGCGGCAATGATAAAAGATAGTTTTAAATGTATCAAGAATAACCATAAGTAAGACAAAATATGGGATAGAAATATTATTAACAGTAACGGTTAATAAGTAAGACATATTACCATGGTACATTCAGATTGACCACTACTTCCTTCTGTACTGTACACAGAGACCGGGTTTATAAACTCTAGTTGCAATCGCGGTCACCTTCCTATTTGTTTGTCTGTTGGCCACAGTGAATGACTTGAAACCATCAGTACCATGTACGCAAACTGCAAGATGCTTCGTCATTGAACTTTTGGGTACTTTCAATTCAGCTATTTTGCTTACGCAAACATTCAAAATGATAAACCTGGTTTAAAGTGTCGAGGTTAGGCGACCGGTTTTTCCCGGGCATTAGATGCATATACATATTCAGTCAATTTTACAAACATATCAACTAATGTAGCGTATAACCTATGTAACTGCTCCCAAGAACACTCGTTTGAAAATTATTATTGACTAGTATCGTTCCTGTTATTAGCATTATTATTATTACCAGTATTATTTGGTTCGCAACTCTTTATATATATTCGAGTTCTTTCACTCACTGATAACTAAATGTTTATTTAACTGATGAAATTGAACCGTAATGCATTTATCTTAATTTTATATCCTGCATGTATACAACCAAATAAAGAGTTCTACCGATATTAGATGAATGCATTCATTTATGCTCTTTTGGCTTTTAGAACTGACCATGAAATTTTGGTATTTTCTCCTCCAACATATTCGTTCAGGATGAGAATACACAAGCGTTAAGGTTTAGTGGAAAGGTTTTTTTAAGGCTAACGTTTTCATGAGCCAGGCTGATATTTGTTAAAATTAGACGTCTTAGTCGACTTTTGAAGCACACTAATGTTAACCTTTTGTAGGTTATTGGATATTGGATATTGGAACCTTTTGTAGGTCGTTCGTTCGGCGGTAATTTAAGACCTCAAAACATGCGGAATGTTGATTTTTATGGATACGGTAGTTTGTGGCTAGAAGACTCCAATATCCAACATATTTATCTGGATGATTGTTCCAAGAGTATTGCTGTTTCTTTCGAGCGTAGTGTTAGTCTAATTAATAGTGAGAGAGTAGGTTACGATATGTTACTTCATTAATGTGTAAAGAACTATGTTTATCATGTACTTGACAACCAGAAGAAAATATATGCATGCTATTCAATATCCCCACCTTTGTTTATTGTCGCTTTGTCTCACGAAATCATCCTTTTGAACTCATTAGACAAACAAGTATGTCTTTCCTTCATCATTAACGCTGGCAGGTATATGATAAAGTCAGTCTAACCTCGGAGTTAAAGGCTATCTCTTTTTGTCCGGACTTCTCTAAGGCTGTGGTTTTAACAAGTATGTTGTGTTAATAATAACGTTTTAGGCGGTGGACTCGCCCACATTCTTTCTTCAAACCTCGAAATCATTTCCAATTTTTCACTTGTTGAAGAAGGCTTTGGATCTGGTAAATGCTCTTATTTTTTTCTTTTTACTGTTTTAGCTCTCCCCATGTCACTAGGTTGGGGTAAGAAAGAAACCCAATTCCATGGCTCCGAAGGCAAGGAGGCCGCTCTGACAAAGCCGGTAAGAGAGTGTTTTTGTAGTTCCTGGTTATCCTTCTACAAGCCTCGCCAAAATTACATATACACTGGGGTATATATATGCCAAAGCTGCGTCTAAAGATGTGGGAAACTAAAATTTACGAAAGGAATAAAGCGATAGAACCTTTAATGCACAACATACGTCTAGTGTTCTCAGTGGCTGTACAAGTTTGTAATATTTCGAAATTTTGATTTTTTAAAAATTTCTATACTCCGGCGTTGTCTTTCATCTACGAGGAAACCAGAGAAACCAGACACTTTAGATAGTAGGTTGACTATTAATGATCTTACTATTATGATTATTCGATGATAGCTTGGATTTCTCTTCCAATTGAGTGCATTTAGTGATTAAAATTTAAGCGGAATAAATGTGGTTATTGAGATTTAAGGATATTTGAACCGAAGCTGTCTACGCAAATTAGTGTAATCCGTACTGCGTGGGGGTATTGGTGAGATGAACAGGTTATTCCTATTTTAGTTCCCCACTTTATTCACTTAAGTTTGTGTTGTCAGTATGGCAGCTAGAATAAAATCCTCAATTCGCTCTCAGTTTGTATATCACTTACAACAGATGTCAAAACATGAAATCACTGTTATGAACTTTCTTTTTCCTCCACGTTCCAACTGGAACGTAGGGCCTCAAGCTAGTGGCTTGAAGTTACTGGAGCAGTGTTTAATTTTACAGGATGGGACTGTTGGCCTCGGACCATGTGCATGGTCGGCGAGCGTCCTAATCGCATCGCCACTGACGCCCTGTTATGGACTTTAATCTGGCAAATTCAATTTATCTATTTCTATGTAACTCATTAATGTCTGCTGCGAATCACTATTACAATACTGTTTTTAAACTCATTCAAACAAGTTTTTCAAGTTTTTGCTTAATGTTATCGAGTTAGAAACTATTTCGGCAACACAATAAGAAGACGTGGTTTATCTGAAACGTGTAATGTATTGGCGCAACACATTCCGGACTTTCTGATCACACGTATTTGTCATACACAGTTTTTATAGAAGGCATGAAGGTATGAACAGTTACAATGCAGGTCAGATTGTGTACAGGTTAAGGTCACATATAATGGGTAGGGAGACGCAAAAGGTGTGGGTAAGAATGATATAATGAAAAAAAACAAGGCAAAAAAATGGTTGAAAATATTATGAAGTATATTGGTCGTTGGTTCTAACTTGGATTACCAAGGCAGGTTTAAGGTGATAACAAATAACTTTTGGACACATAAGACAGGCTTAAGTCTTTATGGCTAAGGCCTCGATGAATTTAAGTATGTGGTCCAACTTTGTTTTATATTTCGGTTTAAAGGCATTGCTGAAATCAACCTTATGACCCGTCTCTACAATATACTTCGCTATAGATGATGTTGGACATCTATTTCCGGAGTCAACTGTGTCTGTCGATTTCATTTGTTGTTGCAGTCACTTAGGAATGTGTTCTGTTGCCCTAACCTGCAGAGACCTATGGGCCTCCCCATGTACGTATCTCCACACATACATGTAAATTGGTAAGCACAGTGGGATGTGACACTATCGTACAATACGTTCGAACTTGAATACCGTAGTGACCGAACAAGCCAAACTGGCTGAGACTCATGTTCCTGCAGGTCCTACCATGTCAGGAAAGTTGTCTGGATAGCGGTTAGACTAAAAGCAGTCACCATGGGGTACATGGGCTCCAGAATTCAATTGGATCAAATGGCGTATAAACCTGTATTGCTCACCGGGAACCATGGGAATGCAGCTCCTGACGCTGCTCCGCTGCCTTGCGGATTAGACTCCAAGTCAAAAGCTCGGGGGTGGTCCCTTAAGAAAACCACCTGCTTCGGTCTGGGCGCCCGGACAGTATTTCAGCCCTCACACAATAAATGAAATGAAGCAACAAACTATCAGTGAAACTTATCACACGCTCGTAACAATGCTTTCAAGCAATAATGTTGTCTCAAGTAACTTATATCCTTCCAACCTTACTTTTATTTTTATACATAGACTCCTGTATTTTACATTTGCTAACTGTGACTTCTTCACCTTCGACAGCCCTTCGCCTTTGTCTGGATTCCCAGCCTATCTGCGTTGTTTCGAGATGGTGTTAGTGAGTAGCCCTTCAAAATGGTTGTTCCCAATGCGACATCTAACACAGATATCCTGAAACCGCGTGCAGGGTTCAAGCTGGCCACCTACAATGTTCGGACGCTGATGCAAATCGGACAACAGGCAGGCTTTGTAAGAACATTGAAAAGCCACGCTATCGATGTCTTCTGTATTTCGGAGACCCGCATTCAAGGTCCCAGTGAAGTGCTTCGATTATCCTCTCCATCTGAAAGTTCGAACAGTATGTACCACCTGCGCCTGTCCGGGAATCTTGTGGCTTCGTCATCCGGCGTAGCTGGTGTTGGCGTCGCTTTATGCACTAGAGCTGAAGCTGTATTGCTCGACTGGATCTCCATCAACAATGGTTTATGTGGTGTGAGACTGGAAGGTTATACGAAAGTAAGGAGTAGTAGGCCAGATAGGCAGTGTCTATTTGCTGTCTCTGCCTATTCACCGACGGATTGTAGCCCGGATGCAATGAAGGATGAGTTCTACTACCAACTTGGCGATCTCTTGAAACAGGCGCATCGGAAGGACATCGTAGTGCCGGCTGGGGGCTTGAATGCACAGGTCGGGCGTCTAAGCTCAGAGGAGAATCGTTTAGGTGGTCAATGGGGTGTACTTGATCTCAGGTGAGGTAATGGGGACCGTCTTCTGGAGCTTTGTGCGGATCACAACCTATTTCTAGCCAGCACCAACTTCCGGCATAACCATCGCCGTAGTGCTACTTGGCGTCCTCCCTCTGCGAATCAAGCTTGGACTCAGATTGATCATATTGCTGTGAGTTTCCGGTGGCGAGGATGCATACAAGACTGCCACTGATTCTGGAGCACATGCCTGGACTCCGATCATGCATTAGTGTGTGCCGAGTTCGTCTTGAGATTTGGTGGGGTTCATAAAAGGCGTCGTCTAAACGTTGATGTGAGCAAACTAGTAGCCCCTGCTAATTCTTTGAAATACCAGAATGAGTTACAATCAATGCTTTCCAGCAACCCCCTAAGTAGTATAGATGAACAATGGCTTCATCTGCAAGGTGCCATGCAAAAGGCGAGTGTAGCCGCTTGCGGCTTGAAAGAATGCTCCGCTAAAAACCACTGGGTTTCTGCGAGTTCCTTGCGACTTCTGGATGAACGCCGGTCCATTCCGGCTGGCAGCGAATGCAACAATGAGCGAAAGGTGCTTACGCGCAAGATTAGACAGTGTTTACGTAAGGACCTCAAAGCCTGGTGGTCAGGACGCACATGTGAAACGGAGTCAGCTGCTGCATCTGGCAATAGTGGGAAGCTGTTCCAGCTCATCCGAGCCACCGACAGCAAGAAACAAGGTGTTGGCGAGACGGTCTGTGAGTCAGATGGCACGCCAATTACCAGCCTGGAGAGACGCCTGGAACTCTGGGCAAAGCACTTCGAAAAACGGTTTTAGCGGGCCATCAGCACCAGTATCTGCTGTCATTAGCCCGAGTGCTCCTTGGTCGGTCAGTACCGACGCACCCACCCACCGAAGCGGAGATCCGTAAGGAACTCCAAGTGTTAAAACGCCATAAGGCACCCAGCCCAGACAATCTACCCCCGGCTCTTTTTAAAGATGGTTGTGAGACTCTTGCAATGGCTCCAACTGGATTATTCAGGAAGGTATGGGAGACCGAGAGTGTAACATCAATGTGGATCAAAGCCATTATCGTCTCCATCTTTAAAAAGGGTCGACGTAATTCGTGTGACAATCATAGGGGTATCAGTCTGCTACCAGTTGCGTCTAAAATGTTGGCTGCTGTCTTGCTTCGGAGGCTGTGCAAAATACGTGAGGGATTGATTTGCGAAGAGCAAACTGGGTTTCGTTTAGGTTGTGGATGCATTGATCATGTGTTCACCCCTCGTCAGTTGTTGGAACATCGCCACACGTATTGCAGTCCAACGATCGTTGTGTTTCTTGATATTAGGATTGCCTTCTATTCGTTGGACAGAACTGTTCCCTGGAACTGTCTTTTAGGGAGGGGTGTACCTGAGAAGTTTGTGAACATCCCAAAAGGTCTACACAGAAGCACCTCAGGTAGAGTGGGAGCATACAACCAACTATCATCACTGTTCCCAATCAACAGTGGGGTTAGGCAGGGTTTCCCAATCTCTCCATTTCTCTTTAACTTTGCCTTCGATGACATTCTGGAGTCAGCTCTAAAGGATGTGCGTGCAGGTGGTGTAGATCTGCTATCTGAAGGTAGACTTTTCGAACTCGAGTATGCAGACGATATCGTCTTACTGTGCGATAGCATACAGTCAGCCCAAATTGCACTTAATCAGTTGGCGATCAGTGTCTGTAAGTATGGTATGTACTTTGCGCCGTCTAAGTGCAAAGTACTGTTACAAGATTGGCAAGAGCTTGTACCTGAACTCACTCTTGAGGGTGAACCGTTTGAAGTTGTTGATAAGTTTGTGAATCTGGGTAGTTGTGTGAGTGCTGGCGGAGGGGTGACAGATGAGATTTCCAACAGTATTATGAAAGATAGGGTGGCATACATCAATTTAAGCCACCTCTGGTTTCGCCGCGACGTTAGTCTGGCTGTCAAAGGTCGGGTATACAATGCTTCGGTGCGTGCTGTCTTGCTCTACGCCTGTGAAACCTGGCCTTTCCGACCTGAGGATGTTCGGTGACTCTGCGTATTCGATCATCGCTGTCTAGCGCAAGATTGCTTGCGTTCGATGGCATCATCGTGTGGGTAATTCTGGGACTCGGTGATGTGTTTAGACACAGTTTAGATCACCATTCGTTGAATATCATCATGTGGAAACACCGGCTTCGGTGGCTTGGACATGTGCTGCGAATGTCATCCCAGAGGCTTCCGTACAGGTCTCTGTTCGCTAGCCCTGGGACGGGATGGGAAAGGCGGAGGGTTGGTCAGTCCATGAAAGATTTCTGTGCTAGATTAGCATCGGTTGGTGCGTCACGACTCCCTGGTTGGGGTCCGCGAGATAGGTCGAATCAATGGCTCGAAACGTTATCGGATATGGCCAAGAATCTTAATCAATGGCGAACGTGTTACAATTTCCTTCTTTCTTCCTTTCCCGATGATAGTTAACGAATACTGTTTCAACTTGTTAAGCATGACTGTTTTCCTTCCAGATGAAGTTCTTTATCCGTTCTCTACTAATATTTTTTACTTTTAATCTATGTTGTTTTATGATTATTGTGTGGAATTAACAGGAAAGAGAAATTGTTGTATCAGTGAATAAAAAGCATGATTTATTCAAAAAGTATGTGACTAGGTCTTCTTCTGCTGGTTTGTAAATTCAGACAGAGGAATTTCCCATGACGTATAAGTCAGGTTGGTCAAACCATTGTTATCGTAGAGATTTCTATTTTCTAACTGAAATAATCGAAGGTTAATCCCATTTGATGAATGTGTATTTGATTTCTATAAATTATTCGACACCTTGATCAATTGTGGCAGAATGCAATAAAGGTATCTCAAGAACAGCAAACATTCAGGACGTACATTCACATTTCATTCAACTTGGGATTGTGTTATCCGCAGTTAGTTCGAACTCAGTTAACCAGACTATATTAGCTGGATTACGGCTCGAAATCGCGGTCAATGGTTGAAATTTGAGTGCTTAAGCCAAAGAGACACATCGCTACCTACCTGTTGGTCTGTTCTACTTCAGTTACTCTTGCATTCTAATAATAATAGCTTTGTTCCAAACAGTATCTTTTGGTACAAAAATGAAATTCTTAACATGTAGTACAGTGTTGCATTCACTTTCCTCATTATAAGGGTAATAATTTAAACGGCATTTGCATTGATAATATTTTTCAGTAAAAAATATTAACAACAATATATTATTGAAAGAATAAAGAGCCGTTTTCTTAGAGTGCTGCAGTTAGTTAGTAATTTCCTGCCTTACAATTTTTTCATCACATAAAGTATGCGCTAAATTAGGTATTGCAGAGTTTTTGTACTCAGTCGTCCGAGCATACAGTTTTCTATAGTTGCTTCTAGTTCTACCCGATGAGATACAAGTACAGTTGTGTATGAGGAGGATGTTCAGAGTCTGACGGAATAATATTTGCTGACATCTTGGAGGAATCCTAGTGTCTGTCTGCGATAGTATTAACGAGTTGGTTTAACGACACGGCTTTTAGCGCCCTACGCAGTATAGCAAAGTCTTTCTTAGGTAGCCCGGGAAAGATTAAAGGGCAACAGTAAATAAGTATAGGCAGAATACAGGAACTAACAAACGGTAACGGCAGAAACGGAATGATACCAGATTGTCTTAACTTTCTTACATAGAACTTCAAACGAAATATCTTTCTAGAAACTAAGAGGATGTGGGAAGACCAGGAAATATCAGAGGAAATACATAATCTAAGGTACTTAGGATTCGATTTGATGTCAATTTCGGTGTCATCTGTGATAGTGGAACCGTGCAAACTTACCAGTTCATGTAAGTCGCGCTTGCGTTTGTAAGTGAAATTAACCGCCTGACATTTGCAGAGATTAAGCTTAAAACCATTTGTTTTCGAGGTCCACTGACTAATTTCCAGCAAAAAGTTATTCATTTTAGAACAGTCTGGCTGAGATGTGACAGATATAGAAACAGTCAGATCATACGCATACTTAACAAAATTGGCTTTGTCAGAATGAGTCAAGTCATGTAAAAATAAAGAAAACAGAAAAAAGAGAAAGAACAGCTACAGTAAGTGAAGCAGTGGAGGACTTCCCACCGCAAACAGTACACTACTTTCCATCAGAAAAATAGTAATGCAACCACTTTGAAATCCAGCACTGCGCTTGTGATGCAGCAGGTTTGTTTAACAAAACGGGCTTAGGTACAGAGTCAAAGACAGATGTATGATCGAGAAAGCCACACGTGACATATTTGGCACCTTTGTCTAAATTAGAGACAATATTATTATATAAGACGACAGTGGCATCTAAAGTACAACTACCATGTTTATAAACAAATTTATTAGGGTAATTAAAAGCCTTTAATGAAAATTCAGGGTTATGTAAAAAGCAGTTTTTCAGTTATTTTAGAAAAAAGGTGGAACAATGGCCATTGGTCTAAACTTATCACATGTTTCACTAGATGGTTTAGGAATAGGAACAGTTTCAGTGGAAAACGATTCATTGAAAATACCATTGAGAGCATAACACAATATATCAGCATATTTTTTGAGGATAACAGCTGGTAAGGTGTTGAAGACATATTTTCCGGAAGAAGTCCAACTTCAGTTATTTGAACCAGTCATTTTAGTAAACCAGAATAAGTAAAAAATATTCCTAAATCCCGATATCCTGCCCATTTCCTTCGCTACCATTATTATTATTATCGTCATCATATTTTCAACCCTTTCTTTGCTTTGAATTTTATCTTTCGTATCCACACCCTTGCGTCTTCCTACCCATTATGTGGCCTTGACCTGCACACAATCTGACCTGTATTGTAATTGTTCTTACCTTCTATAAAAACTGTGTATGACAAGTACGTGTGTGATCAGAATGTCCGAAATGTGTTGCGCCAATACATAACACGTTTCAGATAAACTACGTCTTCTTATTGTGTTGTCGAAATTCATAAAGGGAACTAACTGCTTTAAATTTACATTATCAGTCTGCTTATGTTTTAACTGCTTTTATTGCTCGTCGTTATTAAAGCCCGTCGAAATTGATCTTGCATCAGTATTTTTGGTTGAGTTTGCACCACCTTTTTACACAGTTGAGTTCATACAATACCAGGCTTCTCTAGGGTAGTTCATTGATGAGTATCTGGCTAGTTCCTCTTAGTGAGCATATGGCAACCTTACAGCGGATTATATATCTTGAATTCATCCAGATGCACATGCCCTAACTGAAGCGTAAATAAAGTCCAAACAGGTGTTCCTTAAAGTGTGGGGATGTTTCGGCGATCTGTTGTAATCTTGATTTATGGTAATATTACCCATGTCCATCGTTAGCTAAATATTTTTTAGTCATCAAAATTGACAATATCTTTTGTGTTTGAAGTTAGTGTTGGTTGGGGACTAATGATTATTTAAAAATAACACTAAGAGACATTTACTGTAATCGTCTAGTCAGCATTTCATTTCATTGATTCCACCGGATGCCTTTCCATTGATGGCATTTCGGAACCCAAAAGAATATTCATTAAATCCAGAAAAACTGTTTTCAACAGTGATGTACGCCATATTGCAGTTACGGCTGTTTGTAACATTGGCTAGCCATATGCGTCATTGAAAGTAATGTCCATGTTAAAGGCAGTTCAGCCATTGTCATCTACCAAATTTTCCTTCATTGTCAATGACCTTGAGTTTGTTTCATCAGTAAGTCTATGAATAACTAATAACACGATTATACACATTAATCAGGAAAAGAGATACATTGATTGAGGTTAACTATGTGGCTGCTTGTATTTCCAGTAAACGTATATAAATACTGTATCTGTAATGTAATAAAAATTCCTTAAATGTACACAGTGAACAGTATAAAGACTAAACCAACTTTCTCTTTCAGGTACTGCCAACTAACAATATGCTCTATGATGATGGTCGTTTTGAAGTAGCCTGGCGTGATGATGGTCTTTATTTTGCAGTATCATGGCTGGACGCGTCAGCGGAAAATCGGAGGCGCATACGTGTCTACAATGATTCTGGTGAATTGTTCTCAACGACGGAGCTAACAAATATGATTTCTCCTGGGCTTTGTTGGAGGTAGGTGGTACCTGGTGATTCTTCTCGAATACTACTGCCTTATAGTTTGTAGTAAATAGGTAGTCTAATTACACTTCTGCTTGACTTATTAACAGAAAGTTTCCGCAAAATTGTATTGATTCAAGTTAGCACGCTTCTGAAAAACACATCAAAGTAAAGGAACGACATGTTATGAAAATGCAATGGACGGGTGTGTTAATCATATATTCACCCTTTGATAGATTCTGGGAAGTAGACACTCGCTATATTTTTTAATCTGAAGGTAGTACGTAACTCCGTCTACTCAGAATTGCTGCGTACGTAGTACTGAGAAGACGTATTACACTAATAAAAGCATTTTACTAGAACTCACACTAACCGAGAGTTGTCATCTGAAGTGGCGACAACCATTGATATCCATTATCTCCATCTTCGTTTAATTTCACCATAAATGTGCTAGGAGATACGACATTGATGCACTTTGCCGACTTAGAGACCAAGTTAATACCAGGAAGCAGTCTTGTTAACTTAGAGTATGCGGATTATATTATCCCTCTAGGTCAAGACGACAAAATGCAGTCTTCTGAACACCTTGAGCGGAAATGTTTACATATTAGCATGCGATTCCTTACTTTCAAATGTAAGATGACACTGTAGGAGTAAACTGCACCAAATCTCAGTTTAAACATAGGTAATGAAGTGGCTGAGCGTATTCACTTATTTAGGAAGTTGCATCAACCCTAACAGACTGATTGCTGACGGCATCTCAGCTCGTATACGCAGGACTCGCGTGGGTTTTGTAAACTTATGCCATCTATGGACTAAATATCATATCCGGCTATTGATGGAAGAATGTATATACTGGTCAGCAGTTCGCTCCATCCTTCTTTATGGTCGTGTGACGTGGCCATTGAAAGTGGAAGAGCTGAAGATGCTCGCTATGTTTGACCTCAGATGTCTAAGTTCTTTCTCCCATATTAAGTGGTATAATATTAGTGAGTAATAATTGAGGTTAGTTTAGTGTTAGAGTGTGTAATTAGAACAAGTCATCTGGTGTGGTTGTAAAGCTACATCAACTGAGATGGCTAGGACATGTGTTGAGGATGACGAGTCAGCAGTTTCCTCCTCGAGCGATGTTAAATGACATATGATTAGGTTAGAAAACGGTTGTGGGTGTTGCAACAAGAACCTGGTATCAATCTATGAAGTCTTTGACTGTTGGTTTGAGCCAACCACGTAGGGTGGTGTAGACTGATTTCGGTCTTTGAGATGCTAAGAACAAGTGGCTGGAAATCGTTAGCGGTATGGTCCAAAGTCGTTCTCACTAGCTCAGATGCATTCAGTCTTTATGATCTCCCATATTAATTAAACCCTAATGTTTTTCTGTTACTGTTCTTTTTCGCGAAAATTACTGCTCATCACAATTTTTTTGGATTTTCTGTCTTCCCTCTATTTTTTGTGTTGTATGAAGCGTGGCAACTTGAACTTCTGCACTTGTCTTCTACGTTGAAGCTCAATCAGTCAGTTTTGCATCCTGAACCTCCATCGATTTCTCCCGATAACCTCAAAGCCAAGCGAAGGAATTGTTAATCATACACATTTTGCATAGGTAGCTGAATATCACTCTGGCTCGAAAGATGTAGTGAGTTAAAATATACCTAGTGAGCATTTCGTGTCTCTACTGAGATTTCCTCAGCAATAAACCTGTCACGGTGGATGAAACTTCCTAAATAAGTAAAGCAATCAACAATGGAAAACCACTGGAAAACCTGGGAGTACTGGACAGCTGTTTCGTCCTAGTTTGGGACTCTTCATCAGTACGCACCCACCGGGTTCCAACCCAAGACCTCTAGAACTCCCAGGTTTTCCAGTGGTTCTCTAACTAATGTCAGCTCATGATTAAATCCTCCATGCAATCAAACAAAATCACTACAAAACCAATACTTGAAAATTAATCTGTGCTCACTAGTGACTGGCCCTATTCAGGCAGTTAACCTGGGGTTCTAGTGGGAAGCCGTGACCAGTAGGGTACAGCAGGTTGAAGATGAGGCACATCTGGACCAATGAAGCCAAATTTTACCTCCAGTTCAAGAAATATGTCGGATGCTGGCCTTTGTTCTAAAACATGTAGAGGCGTGATAATATATTTAACTTTACTCTCATTTGCTTTAGGTTTAAGATAGGTTTTTCAACCCCGACTACAGTTGAGGGGCACATCTGCATTCTATTCAAGCTTTTATTTAAATCGAGTGCAATTGTAGTGTAGTTGTAGGGTGAATAAACCTTTCCTCAGAATATTCTATCCAGGAGTCCATGCACATATCCTGTAAAGTTATTAAAGTTCCTTCCTTCTAACTAGTCACTTCACTTACGATAACATTTTTAGAACCCGTTTTCTTAATGAGTTCAAATAGTTGATAAGTATTACGTACTACTGATACGTGGTCTATGCACACTGCTGAATATATGGAATTGCAAGTAGTTGTTGAGTAATATTTGCGGATACATTGTGTACGATGTCACATCGTATCTTTTGAGTAATACGAAAATATATCACATTTTTGCATGTCAAAGCATAAGTCATAACAGTGTCACCACACGTTTCCAAAAAAAATAATTCACAAATGATTCTGTTATCTGCCTATTACCTGAATGACTTCTGGGCATTCATTGCCGCGAATACAAAAGGACCCTATATCAAGATGAGGCTTCATTTTTATTGCACCTTATCTAATACGTACTGACAATGATGATCCGCGTGTAATGTGTAAGGTTTGCGGGTAATAACGTGATTACCAGAGGGAAATTATATATATATATATATATATATATATATATATACTGCACAATCACGTTAATGTTTTTAATTTCAGACCTCGTGTCCAGCTAATCACAGCTGTTCAGAGACGAGAAGGTCGGGGCTTAGACATTATATTTTTTGAGTCTAACTCACAACGTCATGGAGACTTTGAGCTACTCAGCGGTGAAATTGAGAAGTACTATCAAGTAGAATCAATTATGTTCAATCCTACCGGTTCAGTTCTAGCTGTTCTATGCAAGGGAATCCAGGATCATCCATGGTTTAGTAAGTGATATGTGTGCTTTTATTGGTGATAAATTTTGGGGAATGATTAGTTCTTTTGAGAATCAGTGAAGTTAACTTACGGAAGAGGGTATTCATTTCTCTACATGTACCAATGAATATAAATGTGGTTCAGTAGCTTAAGCACTCAACTTCCTAGACCAGTGAGTGAAATTATCTCTTTTATTTCGTATTAGGTGATTCATCAATAAAGTGAAATGATTTTAAATGAATGTACTGTGAAGTATTAGTCAAAGTGCTCATATTAAATGTCAGTTTCTAACGAATACATTGTGATATTTTCTATAGCTTTGTATGGCCACACAGAATATTACTATAAAACATACCGCTGCTTTACTAGCTTTGAATACAAAATGTGTTTTATTCGATTGTATAACAGTAAATTTCATATACTTGTTCTCAGTAAGTCTAAAACTGAGTACCAGTGGCGCCGCACAATCAAACTCTTATAACGAAGAAAAATTGTAGCGACACATCAATGTTTTTTGATAATCTCTTTCTACATACCACCTCCAGTTTTAAAAAAGCTCTATCAATAGTTGCCTAAACTACTACATAAGGTGAAACATTCATCTTACTGGGATATCTTAATGCACTATTAAAGTGAGGGTAAACTATGCTGAATGCCAATCCATCAAACTGATAATAGTAGTGATTTCAGCTAATACTAATTTTAGAAATATAGTGACTACACTTGATGGCCACTCTCTTCTCTTCTCTGGAGTGTTTTACTGCCCCTTACTGGAGGATTCTCAACGTGAAAACGAAGTAATTGTTCGGCTCTCAAGCAGTCACGATATCGATTCTCCTTTAAGTGTTCCTGTACTGGAGATTTGTACAGTTTACCCTCTAGTTTAGCTGCCAAATGATGTCTTTAGGCCTAGCAGATCTTTAAAAATACCTCATTTATTTGAGGACACCTGTCTTTGTAATGTTCCCTTTGTTTCGGCGAACCATTATATGAGTGATGCAGAAGTTAAACATAGGGTTTTATGGAAAATATGTGAAGTTAGCGAATGTATAAACGTCCATCGACTGCACCGGCTGAGCTCTGTTTTCCACGTTTTACCTTTTTCATTGATATGGTGACTTGGCAGAAGTAGCGGGAATTATAATGGATTAAGACAGTAGCACAAATCGATAAAGTATGAGTTATACAGAGAAGTGTATTTTATCTGCCTGGGATTCAAATCTCCTAAAAGCGTGAACTATTTTTTCATTGCTTTTATCCATAAAGTGAAATAGTTGAAATACCTACTTTTCATGGTATCATTCTTGAATTATTGTCTGCTTCTTTGCTTTGAGTATTTTCAATTTTAATTTATGGCAGAAATTGTTGATTAATACTAAAAACAATGTTGTTCTATACAGTTCGCCTACTGACTTGTTCTAATTATCAGTGGTCAACAAAACAACATTTATATATTCAATGTCCACAGAATAGTGACAAAATATCCAGTGTAGCATTAACTTGGGACCTAAATATTCACAGTACAGATTTATCAACATTATACTGTGCTGTATCAATGAATAAATCATTTGCTACCACGAGCAACAGTGTCGGTCAAACACTTATACAATGTTGGAAAATGAGTAATACTTACAGTACATCATGTTTAGTAACAAATTGTGGAGTAAATACATCATTAAATTCAGGTCTGGTTACAATGATCAATGGAAGTGAGTAATGTTTTACATAAGTTATGCGTTTACAAATTCATTATTAGGTTTGAAAATATTTTGAATTACAGGAATCAATAAACAGATCTTTGATATAAGGATAAAACTTCGGCACTGTGGTGGAGTATAATTCCATTATGGATACAATTTTATTTTGATAAAGTCACAGTGTTATTCAGTAATATTTACTGATGACCACCTTTCGACCATATCAGGTTACTCGCATAACTTTCTTGCTTCTTTTATGTACATGAGTAAAAATTGGTTGGACATTTGGATGAAATCAACATAAGACTTGTGTGAAACAGAATGGAAGATGAAGTACATTTGAAAATACTATTAGTGTTATCAATAAAATACAATAAGATGTGAAATAAGATGTTTTTATAAATAACTTGTGAGAATGTTTTAATGTGAATTGAAACACATTTTAACACTATTTATTATCCTCTGATTTGACTGGCAATAATATCTCCCATATCTCTGATATTTGCATGTGTTGGACATAAACTCGATGAAGAGATTTTTTGATTGTAACTTCTAATCAAAGCTACACAGTTATTAAGTTATTTATACTTTGTAAATTGACAAAAAAGGTAAGAGGTTGAAGTGATTTATTGAATGGGGACTGGCAGTGGGATCCAGGATGCGTATTTCGTCCTCTTTGGTTTTTTTTATCTGGATGTACCTGCATTTGCAAGTGAATGATGGTGTTTCTACTGAGTCTGGAACCTATTACCCATCACTTTAAACGTATGATTGGGGATTTTCCACTTTCGTTGTGTTCGCATATTTTAACTCGATAAGAAAGGGAACTCAGTGAAACATACGTTTAGCTTGTAGACTTTGATTGTGATCTCTTGTCGGGTGACTAGTGTCAAATCAGTGGTTCTTTATGGTTAAGAGATTTAGCTTGTCATATAAGGTATTTCTAACAATCTGAAGCGGACTTCTATCAACAGCTGCTGCCACCACTTTAATACTGAGGATCAGACAGTTCATCAGAAAGGATAAGCGCCAGGGAACTGTGGGAACGGACTAACCAAGGGCCTATTGCACAGCAAATATGCCGAAGAAAATGGAGATGAACTGGACACTCACTGAGGAGACCGTTGAGTGGCATCACATATACCAGTCCCTCGAATGGAACCCGAATGGGGAAAGATGTGTTACACTTCTGAGAGTGATATGCAGGAGATCGCGTGAGGAGGAGATGAAACATTATGGGAAATCGTGCAGTCAGGTAAATAGGAAAGCGGAAAACAGAGTGAAATGGAGATGGTGCGGCTGAAACTCTATGTTCCACTCGGAAACCAATGTACTAATAATAAAATATAATTTTGTAGTGTATCTCACTGACGAGCATTGTGTATAAATTATGGTCTTCAATACAAAATATTAACATACTTTAATATCTTATCACTCACATTATAATCAACACTTAGAAATAAACATACGCTAATTATCATGCTATGCAACCGATTTTCATACACTTTGTTTCTTATTACCGACTTTGTCGTATTTGTTTTGTTTACAATCATTTTTTCCTCCAGATACTGTGGAAATGAGTTCATTTGCATACTGTGTTATTCCACCGCCAATGTTTGCGACAAAACTGATATTTTGCCCAAGTGAACAACATTTGGCTGATATTCCATTTGTCTTATCTGTATCTACTCCAAACATATGGTTATCCCATGAAACAGAATCACTTAGTGCTATACCTATGATTGTCCAAACAACTGACAATCAGTCATCCAAATTATTATTTCCAAATATATACTTTCTCACTGTTACAACTGGCACTTCATTGACAAAAGCATTGTTTTGTAATGATAAGGTCTGTGCTGAATGGTACAATGGGGCTCAAAGTAAAGCACCTTGGCCGAGTACTGTTATTAAAATCAAGTAAGCTCGTTTTAATTCCTTTTTTAAGCAGAATCAGATTTAGTTTTAAGCAGCTTTCCAAGTAAGCTAGTTCGTCTAATTAGTTTTATTGTAATATTTCATACTGTAATCACAATGTGTAGATTAAAGTTTTAGTGATTGATGAATTCACTTTCTTATAATTTCACTGAAAATCTTGGATATAAGTAGTGTAATACTTATTCTGCTTTCTGAGCCTGAATGTTCAGTCACAAGTCTTCTGGAATATAATTTGACGACAGACTGACTGGTTCCAACAAAAAACTTTGCACAGGTGTGCAGCAGTTCGAGTTACCACTCTCCATGTAGCACACAAAGCAAGAAAAGAGAGTTAAAAGAGATTCAAAACAGAGATAATAAACGGAGATATAGAGCAAAAAGAATAGTAATATGGAAGAAGAACATAGTTATATTGGATATTGTAAATCACAAAACGTAAATGCATCTGCTCCAGCCAGCCATTGAGAACGATTTCCATCCATATTACCGATTATCTCCAGTCACTGATGAGGCTATGCTTTGGTTTAACAACCTGATCCATTCTATGTCAGCTAACACTGCCCTTCAGAGAAGGCGGTGGCTAGGCATACGCAACACATGTCCTGACCATCTTAATCGGTGTAACTTCACAGCCTCGTCGACTGATTTCCCCTCCTTATCTAGCAGTCGATCGGTGACTAACCTCAATATTGCTTGACCCATTGTACCACTTAACATGGGAGATACAACGCAGACACCTATGATGAAAGACAGCTAGCCTTTTCATGTCTTCCACTCTCAGTGGCCACATCTCACTCACAGCCATAAAGGAGGACGGAGCGAACTGGTGATGAGCAGTACACACGTCCTTTGATTGACAGTCGGATATCAAGTCTATGTCAGAGATGGCGTAAGTTGGCAAATGCCAAATGAGCCTTCTTTATCCGTTCCTCAGAATACAACTGTAAGTAGGCTTATACCTGGTTTCATGAGTCCGAATAGAGTGCATTGATCAGTGAAATCTATTTTCTCGGCATTCTCTTCACGGCCAAACGTTTACATAGTACCCCACGGTCGGCGCAATGAAATGCCTCTTTCAGGTCAAGAAATATGACGATTGTTGGAGGCCGGGAACTATGCTTATATTCCAGAATCTGTCGAAGAGTGACGATATAATTAATGCACCCTCTTCCTTGTCTCAAACCTGCTCGATTTTCCCGTGTTTGTTTCTGCACCACGATGTCTCTTTAGCATACCTACTGCAGAAGCTCGCTCAGTTGATATTAAAATCACCCTTAGTTTCATGTGGACTGAAATCCGTTGATGGATAGGCAGAGATGACAAACAGATACCGCCTGTCAGGGTGATAGCTTCCCTTTCTGGTACAGCTCTCCAGCCTCAGAGCACATAGATGACTGTCAGGAATCCAGTCAAATTGTGCAGCTTCGGCTATAGCACTTAGTGCGACATCAACACCAGCAACGAGGCCGACAACTGCTACCTTGCCGTGGTGGTCGGGCTTGAATACCGTAGTGACCGAACAAGCCAAACTGGCTGAGACTCATGTTCCTGCAGGTCCTACCATGTCAGGAAAGTTGTCTGGATAGCGGTTAGACTAAAAGCAGTCACCATGGGGTACATGGGCTCCAGAATTCAATTGGATCAAATGGCGTATAAACCTGTATTGCTCACCGGGAACCATGGGAATGCAGCTCCTGACGCTGCTCCGCTGCCTTGCGGATTAGACTCCAAGTCAAAAGCTCGGGGTGGTCCCTTAAGAAAACCACCTGCTTCGGTCTGGGCGCCCGGACAGTATTTCAGCCCTCACACAATAAATGAAATGAAGCAACAAACTATCAGTGAAACTTATCACACGCTCGTAACAATGCTTTCAAGCAATAATGTTGTCTCAAGTAACTTATATCCTTCCAACCTTACTTTTATTTTTATACATAGACTCCTGTATTTTACATTTGCTAACTGTGACTTCTTCACCTTCGACAGCCCTTCGCCTTTGTCTGGATTCCCAGCCTATCTGCGTTGTTTCGAGATGGTGTTAGTGAGTAGCCCTTCAAAATGGTTGTTCCCAATGCGACATCTAACACAGATATCCTGAAACCGCGTGCAGGTTCAAGCTGGCCACCTACAATGTTCGGACGCTGATGCAAATCGGACAACAGGCAGGCTTTGTAAGAACATTGAAAAGCCACGCTATCGATGTCTTCTGTATTTCGGAGACCCGCATTCAAGGTCCCAGTGAAGTGCTTCGATTATCCTCTCCATCTGAAAGTTCGAACAGTATGTACCACCTGCGCCTGTCCGGGAATCTTGTGGCTTCGTCATCCGGCGTAGCTGGTGTTGGCGTCGCTTTATGCACTAGAGCTGAAGCTGTATTGCTCGACTGGATCTCCATCAACAATGGTTTATGTGGTGTGAGACTGGAAGGTTATACGAAAGTAAGGAGTAGTAGGCCAGATAGGCAGTGTCTATTTGCTGTCTCTGCCTATTCACCGACGGATTGTAGCCCGGATGCAATGAAGGATGAGTTCTACTACCAACTTGGCGATCTCTTGAAACAGGCGCATCGGAAGGACATCGTAGTGCCGGCTGGGGGCTTGAATGCACAGGTCGGGCGTCTAAGCTCAGAGGAGAATCGTTTAGGTGGTCAATGGGGTGTACTTGATCTCAGGTGAGGTAATGGGGACCGTCTTCTGGAGCTTTGTGCGGATCACAACCTATTTCTAGCCAGCACCAACTTCCGGCATAACCATCGCCGTAGTGCTACTTGGCGTCCTCCCTCTGCGAATCAAGCTTGGACTCAGATTGATCATATTGCTGTGAGTTTCCGGTGGCGAGGATGCATACAAGACTGCCACTGATTCTGGAGCACATGCCTGGACTCCGATCATGCATTAGTGTGTGCCGAGTTCGTCTTGAGATTTGGTGGGGTTCATAAAAGGCGTCGTCTAAACGTTGATGTGAGCAAACTAGTAGCCCCTGCTAATTCTTTGAAATACCAGAATGAGTTACAATCAATGCTTTCCAGCAACCCCCTAAGTAGTATAGATGAACAATGGCTTCATCTGCAAGGTGCCATGCAAAAGGCGAGTGTAGCCGCTTGCGGCTTGAAAGAATGCTCCGCTAAAAACCACTGGGTTTCTGCGAGTTCCTTGCGACTTCTGGATGAACGCCGGTCCATTCCGGCTGGCAGCGAATGCAACAATGAGCGAAAGGTGCTTACGCGCAAGATTAGACAGTGTTTACGTAAGGACCTCAAAGCCTGGTGGTCAGGACGCACATGTGAAACGGAGTCAGCTGCTGCATCTGGCAATAGTGGGAAGCTGTTCCAGCTCATCCGAGCCACCGACAGCAAGAAACAAGGTGTTGGCGAGACGGTCTGTGAGTCAGATGGCACGCCAATTACCAGCCTGGAGAGACGCCTGGAACTCTGGGCAAAGCACTTCGAAAAACGGTTTTAGCGGGCCATCAGCACCAGTATCTGCTGTCATTAGCCCGAGTGCTCCTTGGTCGGTCAGTACCGACGCACCCACCCACCGAAGCGGAGATCCGTAAGGAACTCCAAGTGTTAAAACGCCATAAGGCACCCAGCCCAGACAATCTACCCCCGGCTCTTTTTAAAGATGGTTGTGAGACTCTTGCAATGGCTCCAACTGGATTATTCAGGAAGGTATGGGAGACCGAGAGTGTAACATCAATGTGGATCAAAGCCATTATCGTCTCCATCTTTAAAAAGGGTCGACGTAATTCGTGTGACAATCATAGGGGTATCAGTCTGCTACCAGTTGCGTCTAAAATGTTGGCTGCTGTCTTGCTTCGGAGGCTGTGCAAAATACGTGAGGGATTGATTTGCGAAGAGCAAACTGGGTTTCGTTTAGGTTGTGGATGCATTGATCATGTGTTCACCCCTCGTCAGTTGTTGGAACATCGCCACACGTATTGCAGTCCAACGATCGTTGTGTTTCTTGATATTAGGATTGCCTTCTATTCGTTGGACAGAACTGTTCCCTGGAACTGTCTTTTAGGGAGGGGTGTACCTGAGAAGTTTGTGAACATCCCAAAAGGTCTACACAGAAGCACCTCAGGTAGAGTGGGAGCATACAACCAACTATCATCACTGTTCCCAACCAACAGTGGGGTTAGGCAGGGTTTCCCAATCTCTCCATTTCTCTTTAACTTTGCCTTCGATGACATTCTGGAGTCAGCTCTGAAGGATGTGCGTGCAGGTGGTGTAGATCTGCTATCTGAAGGTAGACTTTTCGAACTCGAGTATGCAGACGATATCGTCTTACTGTGCGATAGCATACAGTCAGCCCAAATTGCACTTAATCAGTTGGCGATCAGTGTCTGTAAGTATGGTATGTACTTTGCGCCGTCTAAGTGCAAAGTACTGTTACAAGATTGGCAAGAGCTTGTACCTGAACTCACTCTTGAGGGTGAACCGTTTGAAGTTGTTGATAAGTTTGTGAATCTGGGTAGTTGTGTGAGTGCTGGCGGAGGGGTGACAGATGAGATTTCCAACAGTATTATGAAAGATAGGGTGGCATACATCAATTTAAGCCACCTCTGGTTTCGCCGCGACGTTAGTCTGGCTGTCAAAGGTCGGGTATACAATGCTTCGGTGCGTGCTGTCTTGCTCTACGCCTGTGAAACCTGGCCTTTCCGACCTGAGGATGTTCGGTGACTCTGCGTATTCGATCATCGCTGTCTAGCGCAAGATTGCTTGCGTTCGATGGCATCATCGTGTGGGTAATTCTGGGACTCGGTGATGTGTTTAGACACAGTTTAGATCACCATTCGTTGAATATCATCATGTGGAAACACCGGCTTCGGTGGCTTGGACATGTGCTGCGAATGTCATCCCAGAGGCTTCCGTACAGGTCTCTGTTCGCTAGCCCTGGGACGGGATGGGAAAGGCGGAGGGTTGGTCAGTCCATGACGTGGCGTTGTGGGATGAAAGATTTCTGTGCTAGATTAGCATCGGTTGGTGCGTCACGACTCCCTGGTTGGGGTCCGCGAGATAGGTCGAATCAATGGCTCGAAACGTTATCGGATATGGCCAAGAATCTTAATCAATGGCGAACGTGTTACAATTTCCTTCTTTCTTCCTTTCCCGATGATAGTTAACGAATACTGTTTCAACTTGTTAAGCATGACTGTTTTCCTTCCAGATGAAGTTCTTTATCCGTTCTCTACTAATATTTTTTACTTTTAATCTATGTTGTTTTATGATTATTGTGTGGCTCATCTTCTTGGTGCCATATTGTACCAAGTTTTTTCTGCGTTTGAATAATAATAATATTCCGGGTGCCATAGCCACAGGATCCCCACATAAACGCATGTGGTGCACACCATTTGGACTTCCGAATGGAGAAAATATTCGAAGCACTTCATTGGTACGTGAAATATGGTTCTCTGAAATGCAGCAGACATCGATAACGTTGCTTTCTAATGTTCTGATCATACCTGCCTGTTGCCCGATTTGCATGATTATGCCAAGATTGTAGGTGTCCAACTTGAACTAGACACTCGGTTTCAGAGTATCCGTGTTAGATATCTGACAGGAGATCGGCATTATGAAAGCTACTCACTTACAGCTGAAAATGGCACAGATATGCTGAGATCTCAAATAAAGGTAAACGGCTGACGGAAGGGAAGCCATCAATGTTAGTGAAGCCGGTAAAAATAAAAAACAAAGGTCTATATATAAAAATGAAGTCAAAATGACATACGTTGATACAAATTTGAGTGTAGCCTGTGGGAGTAAGCGTGCAATTATAATCTGTAATAAATCGTTGTTTCCTAATTTGTGCGACAGCAGAGATGCTTCCCGGACGCCCAGACTGAACAGGTGGTTGTTTTAAGGGATCGACTGAAGTCTGATCTACAAGGCAGTAGAACCGCGTTTCTGTGGTGGTGGGGGGTGAGTAAACGCCTTCCGATTCGTTAGAATTATGCAGTCCATGTACATCGACAGCTTGGAATCAGGGTTTTACAACTTTCATAGGTGAACCTGCACGTCCACCAATCCGGTTTTAAGCGCCAGATAACATAGAACGCTTATTGAGCAACTAAGAAATATAACATAGGGAAAGAAAACGATTATGTCAGTGCAGTAACACTTAGAAAATTACTACGTAAAAAAGGGTAAATAAGTAACAGGAATCCATTTAGTAAGAAAAATAAAATTGCTTACATGTAGAACAAAAAGTTTTCAGTGATACAAGGGTTAAAGAGGAAAACAACAGGAGATGAGCGTAAGGTGTTAATTGTCAATATTTATAAAGAATATGCTGACCAACGATTACTTGTTGGTTATGCGTTCATGAGTTCAATCGCTCTTTTGGAGCTGATTGCATAAGTCGTATTCAGAGGACTTTATCCATGCGCGTACGCGATCCAATATGGTTGAGTAAAGTTAAAAATAAATGTAGGTCAGATAAACTGAACTTATTGTGACCTATATATCGCATTAGTTGATAGTACAGCCGAGTGATTACTGCTGACGCAAAAGATTGTATCTACTTCCCAGGCTTCCAATTAAGTGATATCGGAATACTGAACAACCATTCATCAATACGTATCCAATGAAAATCCTTTTCTGACGGAAATTTGTCATCTGTACACAAAAATATTATAATCTAGGGGATTTACGTATACAATATTTGCAGATATCAAGTCATCAATAGTGGGTAATGTGAGAGGTTATTATTCAGACAATGACTGCCTACTAATAGATTTAGCGCTGCGTTTCTGTTCTCTCCGATGACTAACTTGGGAATACCCGAAACAGAAAAAGAATTGGTGTTGCGTGACCACAGAGCCCGGGGGACAACTGCTTGAGGCCTGTCTGAACTGGCTTTTCGATTTGGTTCGTATTATAGTAAATTACCACCGGTTACGGACCACCGTAGGGTAAGTCGAGATGTACGATTTTTGGGGTCTACCTTTTCTAACCCCTTTTCTCCAGAGTTGAGACCCGGTATAGCTGGAATGCTTGTCATATTAATGGGACTCCTTACTGCTGTTACATCCCTGTTTCCCAGCAGTGCGACTTCGCCCACAGACCCTCAGCATAATGTAAAAATATCTTACATTTTGCCGGTAGCTGCTCTAAGTCTAATCGGTATCCTTACAATCTACCTGGCATAGTAGGACCTGAAGGAACATTAATTCTAGTCTGTGTAGCTTTTCGGAATATTATGATATGCAAGACCGACCACCAGGTCAAGTTAGCAGCTATCAGTCAGGTCTCTGATTCTTTTACAATATTTGTCGTGTACGTTTTGTACATTTTACACTGAGATACTGATAAAGTGATTTATTCTAATATTTTAGTATGGAGGAATTATTTAGTGAGGAAAAACACCCAGAGTTAAAATCTATTCTGGATGATGTGAGACAAAAAAACGCTTGCATTTTCAGTCAGCTGAGTTGTTTCTCATGGCTGAGTTTGTGCGAAGTACTTTTTATTGCAGCAGATGGTCTTCTTTTGGGTTATCTGCAGGTTAAGAGTTTTTCTACTGCTAACAATTCAAATGACAATGTACATGGAAGGTGAGCTTTATTGGATGTTGTTATCAAGTATTGCTTATTACGTTGATGTTTATGTGCATTTTTAAGTAGTTATGAAATGTTTAAATACCCTTTTAAATTCTTTACCGACAATTTTGGGTAAAATGAAAGTGAAACTGTGTTATTATTATTATTTCTGTTTTGATTACTTTACGTTCCGAGGGGAACAGGGCTTTAAGCTGTTTTGTTGAGGTTTCAGTAATAGTGGCTTTATTTTTACGGGGTGGAATTGCTAGCCTCATGCCCAACCATTCCTCTTTACCAGCCTTACTACCAGCTTAGTGAGGTTTAAGAGTACAGTGGCCGGTGACCGAACTCCGGACCACGTGAGCGATTGGCGAGCATTCTACCACTGAACTACCGACGCAATGAAACTGTAACAATTAGGTAATTTAGTTCTGAGGAAATGATAACTTCAAAGTTGGTCTTGTAAGCTGAAGAAGTGTTTTCCATTGTCTCGATTTTTCATCTTGCCGTTTAGTACTACTTGGTGATTCACTTTCTTTCATATGAAATATAACTACCAGATTATAAATAATTTATCAGATCTCATTGAATAGGAGATTGACTTATTAGATGACTTCATACAAAATCTAACCTACAGTGTTCTTCATTGTCGAAGTCTGCAACTTTATAGTTACTTTGAAATGTATCATTGCCGTTATTTTCATACACGGATCCTCTTTAATGAATCTGAATAAAGCAATAACGAGAAATAAAACAGGATAAAAAGCGCCCATTATATTTCATCGGTATCTTTTCAACTGCGTACAGCCTGTTGTGAGTTAAGCTCATTTAGTTCGACATTAGAATTAAATGAGCTTAACTCACAATAGTTTTTGGTATCTCATTTGTTTATTGAGAATTTTTTATTTATTCACATAATCTTTTAATTTCTGTACCTCACTATCTTGTTGCTCTCCTCCCTCTCCACACTTATGTTTTCTTCGAGAAACTTCGATCCCATTACACATATAAATGCAACAATATTTTATATTATATCAACGAAACATTTTGATTCATCTATGTATGCTGGTCACACTAAATTGTGGTTCCCCTTTTTATCTCCAATGTTCTAAAATATGTTAAAATTTTAATGAAACTATGAAGTTTCCTTATTTAGATTGTACGTAGTTGAGGGGATACGGACGAAATAAAGTCGGTTTGTTGTATCCTATTCCATCTCTTGTTATTACTTTGTTCAAATTACCGTTTCTATTTCATTGTAGTTTTGAACTATAGCATTTTTCTTCAGCGATAACTCCACCCACATACTTTTCGATCATTCAGGATAAAAATAAATATTCAGTTAAAAAGTGGATAACCATATCTGGTTCAGGTAAGTAGTCGAGAAACATTGAAAAGCATCATCAATAGCAAACTGATGCATCTCAGGGCGATTTGGCTTCAAAGTGTCAAACAGTGAATCAATCTCCGTAGTTCAGTAACTGTTCTTCCGTATAAAAATTGATTATTCATAGGCTAAGTACACGAGGTGGCATTTACTCATTACTTTATGTCTGTTACTTATGCAGTGATCATCAGTTCTCAGAAATATTTTGTTCAGTAGGTTGTTAATCGTTTCACTGTGTAATCGATTCTGCATATAACTTAATTGATTGCGTTTTAGAGTTAAATATATTTGATCAGATGAATACGGCTTGTATCATACTTTATTATGTGTAAATAACATAACTTTCTGGAGTTGTAGGACTAAGATATTTTATGAATTAATTACTTTCTACTTTTTAGATGGTTGCTTAGAACACCAGCGTCAGCTGGAGAATTTCGACCATTAATTGAGAAAAACAGTAATAAATGTGCTAGATTATCCAATATTTGTTGTACACCTGATCGACGTGTGTGTGTTCAATTGTCTAATGGTGTTGTCAATATTTATCCTATTGAAGATTTATTGAGTAAGTTTTTACTGTAGATTATGTAAATGTTTTGGAAATGTCTTATCTAAATCTCAATTAATAATGTACTTAATACAACAGTAGATTCAGAATAAATCAAATCTGCAATTTACAAATTAATTCGGGATTTTCAATTTACACAGTTCAACCTGAAACTTGACCAGTTTCCTTTGAAAACTGAAATTATTCAAATCCCAATATTTCGTCTGCTTGATACCATGCATGACTGTCAAGAAAGCAAGCATAACTATATGACTCTATTCCATGGTGGATGACATTTATTTCGATAAAGTCTCACACTGTTACACAGTAATATTTGCTGATTGTTTAATTTAATGCCCAAAAATTGTAATGCTAGTAGAATATATGGTACTCTAAAAATACATAAACCAGGTTACCCCATACGACCAACAGTAGATTTCAGTAACACCCCTACTTATTAATTATCAAAACACTTAAATCTAATATTATATTCCATTAGAAATCATTCAAACTCTAGGGTGACTAATTCATATGAAATGAGAAGGAAACTAAGGAACATTCAATTAGAGAATAATGAAAAAATGGTTAGTTTTGATATAACTAGTCTTTAAACGAATATGCCAATCAACATGACCTCAGAAGTGGTTAAAAGAGAACTAACTGCAGATTGTGAACTTACTCATAGGAAAAAGCTTCCCATTGAGGAAATTATTTTAGGAATTCAATTATCCCTCATCTACTATCTGTAAATTCCAGGGCAAAATATATAAACAGACAGACGGTGTAGCAATAGGATCACCAATATCCCCTTTCCTAGCAAATATCTTTATGAACAGCTAGGAAAATAGTGCTCTAAATACATTTAATCCTACTCCAAAAATATGGTGGAGATATGTGGATGACACTTTCACAGTGTTAAAAACAGAACATATTTCTAGCTTCTTGACACATATGAACTCACTAGAAAAGGGAATGAAATTCACATTTGAATGGGTAAATCAACAATGAGAATTAGCTATGTTAGATTGTAAAATAAAACGAACGGAAGATGGTAAACTAAACAGTAGCGCTTATAAAAAACCAACGCATTCAAATAGATATTTAGACTTAAATTCATCTCATGCGTTGTCTGTAAAGACAGGCCTTAGTTAAGTGTCTGACAAAGCGAGCAATAGCACTAACTAGTACAACAAAAACCTAAGCGATAAAATGAAACAGAAGAGTTGGTGTTAAATAACTATCTTACAAAATTCATTAGGAAGATAAAAAGCAAAGTAAAAGTAGTAGTCTAACAACAACGGAATCCATTGATCATTCATTAATTAAACCGCTGTTTATATATATATATATATATATATATATATCATTGTTAGGGTGACAGATATAGATTTTGTAACCAGAATTCGAGTGATTTGAACTGATTTGGCCTCTGTATGCTGAATCAATCTGAGTACACCGATAATGGGCACGACTCCGAAAGGGTGAAATGGCTGTTTAGTGTCTAGACCACTTCTATCCCGCTTGCAAGCACTACCGGTTAATAAGATTCACTAGTATATAGTGTCATGCATGAATTTAGAACACACCCTATGCACATAATAATAGCTTTAAACTAGACAATACATTCATGTACAACAGAGAATTCTTGGTGTGTAGAGAGCTTTCATGCAAAGTAGTCTGTCTGTCTGTCTGTCTGTTTTCGACACAGAACTTTGCACAAATGTGCGGAAGTTCAAGTCGCCACACTCCGTGTAGCACGCGAAGCAAGAGAAGAAAGTAGTAACCGGAGAGTATGTCGTTTGATGGAGTATTTTTCCATGTGATGCACATTGTAATTCTCCAACAATACAGAGTACAAATTCCAGTTCCAAAATATAATTCAAGTAATCTTGTTGTAATATGGTGAATAGGATATTAGTTACCTTAAAGATTTCAAAAGGTTGGAGTTCATGTTAGCATTACTGAAGTGAAATAATAAATAAATAAATAATAATGCTAAAATTCAATTCATAAGTTAATTTGTGACATCACTTTTCGTAGCTTAAATACATGTTATGAGCATCGTAGATGCAGCATCCTCTTCGTTCATTATCTCTCAATTCTTCGATTGAAAGTGAAGAAGAAGCAAGAAAGTCATCAGTTTCTTATCTGACATTGAGGGTTGAAGAACAGTTGTGCATTTACGTGTTTTGATGTTGCATCCACTCACTGTATGAGATCTGCAAAATTAATTTACACTAAAATTCAGGAAGTTATGGAAATACTATCGAATTAAAGCCAGTCAAAAAGTAATATTGAAAGCTTCTTGAATACATCTTGTGGCACTAGACTCTTGATAATTTCGTTACTTTTTTCGTTTATAGCTCTGTTTGTAGATAAGTGTTACATTATGTGTAAATGTGTTGACTATTTATGTTGTGCGCAAAAGAGAAATACGCTACATTAGTTGATATGTTTGTGAAGTTGACTGAATGTGTATATGCATCTAATGCCCGGGAAAAACCGGTCGCCTAACCTCGACACTTTAAACCAGGTTTATCATTTTGAATGTGTTTGTGTAAGCAAACACAGAGGTCATGCGGAAAAACGATTGTCTACTCGCATGATGTAGCATTGGCCAAAGTGGTTGACAATAGCTGAATTGAAAGTACCCAAAAGTTCAATGACGAAGCATCTTGCAGTTTGCGTACATGGTACTGATGGTTTCAAGTCATTCACTGTGGCCAACAGACAAACAAATAGGAAGGTGACCGCGATTGCAACTAGAGTTTATAAACCCGGTCTCTGTGTACAGTACAGAAGGAAGTAGTGGTCAATCTGAATGTACCATGGTAATATGTCTTACTTATTAACCGTTACTGTTAATAATATTTCTATCCCATATTTTGTCTTACTTATGGTTATTCTTGATACATTTAAAACTATCTTTTATCATTGCCGCTACCTTAACTCATTTCAACATTTTTATTACTGATCATTATTATTATTATTGATCATCATTATTGTTACTGTTATTAGCATTAATATTATTACCAGTATAATTTGGTTCGCAACTCTTGATATATATTTGAGTTCTTTCACTCACTGATAACTAATTGTTTATTTAAGTGATGTAATTGAACCGTAGTGCATTTATCTTAATTTTATATCCTGTATGTAACTACTTAGCTGTAGAGTTCTACTGAAATTAGATGAATTGCATCAATCCTGCCTTATTAACTTTTGTTGCTTGTTTAAGATTCTTATAGGAAAATAAGTGTTTCTAATGCTTAAGCGCTCGTACACAACATTTCACTAACGTTGTACCCCTCTCGACCTGTTTCATTTTAGGTAGTGAAGGTTGTCGCGAAATAATTCAGTCAGATGATTTGAGCATCGACAGTTTACGTTCACTTGGCCCGTTGAATTGTACAATTCGATTCCCGTCTACTTGTGAACAATTATTATGCATACCGGTGTTTGATCAGCAAATGCGTCATGTTCTATCCAACGGTTTCGTCGATTCACATTTATCAAATTTAATTTTACTCGGTTTCAACAAATCACTTCATCGGCTATTCGCTGCAGTATTGCCAAAAATTAAAAGTACACATTTTCAACAGATTGACAGTACTGTTATGAGTATTTCAGATTGTTGCTCTTCTGTAGCTATACTGCCAGAATTCCTTCTGGTGACAACTACACGTAAACTATTGATGTGTGCTTCATTATTCTTTGACTCATCACAGTTAAATGATTCTAATAGTTTTCTCAAAGGTAATCATTAAATGAAAGTGTTGTTTTAAGTAGATTTTCTTCGTTAGACTATATGCCATACTCTTAATTTAGTTGGCGATGTGTCTTAACCATGAAAAACTCATTCCCCGTACGATTCCTTTTGTTAACCTCGCAGTTATTGACTTCTCAGTTTACAGGTTGACCTGCTGGTCAGACTTCAGTTGTCAACGATTTTAATAGCACATGAAACAGCAAACAGGTATCTTAGCGTAACTTCACTTCTATGACTTCTCCGAAGGACTTTCCAGACAATTTTGAAGACAGTTAATTTCTTTTATTTTGCTACACCAAGCCTGACAGTTGACTGGGAAACACGGTTGACCTCCTTTACTGTCAGTGGGGACGTAGATTTCTTCAAGATGTGATAATCGCCATGTAATGTAATTAAGCAAATAAATATGTTTTGGTGGGATTACGAATAGAGATTTTGCTAACTTGTTGTTTCTCGATTATATCACAAGCGAATTTTTCATACATCAATAATTTTGACTGTATGTCATGTAAACAAGCGAATTTTTACTTATGAATCACTGCATTAGTAGTGTGAACTGTACTTTCTTCTAATAATTGGAAGCAATCGGCATAGCTTCCTGTCAAGTGACCAATCAAATTAGTTATTTAATTGGATAACAGTGAGCTGCTTATTAAATGTCAATTAGACTATTCGAATTCACACCTTATGCTGACAACATTTATATACTGTTTAAAAAGGTTGATTTTGAAATAGTTGTGAACTTTTTTGGTAATTGTAAAAAATTGTCTTGTTTCTCGAATGAAATATTCTCGGTGGAATTTCAAAGATTGAATTTACCCAAACAACTGACGCTATCATCTTGATCGTCCAATGATTAGAAACAGTGTGGAACTCTGCACAAGATTAAGTTGTCATACCCTGAAAAAAACACGAAAGTTTAAAAAAATGTAATCAAACTACAATGGCAGAAGCCAGAAGGAAAATCGAATAATTGGGCGAAGATTAGTGAAATGAGCGGGATATGGACGATAAGTGGTGATTAAATCTGTGCTATTGCAACTGGTTTCAGAAAATGTCCAAAGTGGTCTCCAACAACTGATTCTTAGTATTCTGGGGAGGCCATTCATTCAATTTGTATTTCCCTACGCGACTCTTATCAACAGTTAATGATTTCATGAATAGTTACCAGGTTTTGAATTCATTTTACTTGTATGTATGTTTCGAAGAGGACTTATCGACTTGAGCTTTGTTCAGTGTTGCGTAAGGGACTGAACACTTGATGATTTTCCACATGTTCACCTGGTGAAGTCAGGACAGTATGAGTATATGCGCTGTTCTTAAAGTTAGTTTCTTTCTTTACACCTTTTTTTGTTAAGTCTAAGAGAATATGACTGACAAGACTTAGCCTCCTTATCTATTTGGATAAGAGACCGGTGAATTTTTTGAGGTTTGTTTTTTTCACTCACTTGCGTTCCGAATGAAACGTTGAGTTTTGAAGTTTAATTAATGGTGGTGTTGCTTGTAGGGTTGCTAACCTCACACCAAACCTACCCCCTTTTCGGACTTATAACTAGCGAGGTTTAGGAGTATGTTCACCGGGAATAGAACCGTGGACCACGTGGCGGTTGGTGAGCATTCTACCACTAAACCAACGACACCATGTGGTTGGGTTGTTGGATAATAATAATCCCTTACAAAAATTTGTTTTCAGAGTGATCAATTTTTTTTCACATTATGCTTAGTGAGGAAAAATTAAGTTGAGTTAATATGACACTTGTTGTTTGCGTATTGTATCTCATTATGGCAATGCCTTGAATTCATATATCTCCCATTTGTCTTAATTCATTTTAGAATTACTTTCCCGATTGAATGTTCCTTCTGAATTAGAATCAAGTAATCGTAAGACTCCACGCAACTGGTACAATGATAATTTACATCCAATAGAATCAGGAGCAGTTATTGTTACTGCAATACCTAATGATACAAAAGTGATACTACAAATGTCTCGTGGAAATCTAGAGGAAGTTCATCCTCGTGCTCTTGTCCTAGCACATTTATCCAAATTATTGAATAAGTAAGCTAAACTGTATACACTTTTGTCTATTTGCTATGATAAATTTTATATAATTTTTCTTTTGTACACTGCTTATTTTCCTCATCGTGTAAATTGCCTTTTCTTTCCTCTTGTCTAGTAAACAATATGATCAAGCTGTAACAATGATGCGTCGTCATAGGATCAATTTCAATCTCTTGTATGATCATGATCCTCGTTTATTTTTGTCAAATGTTAAACAATTTTTACAAACCGTAAAAGATCCTGATTCGATAACACTTTTCATATCTGATCTTGTGTAAGTTGCAATAATTTTGTTAGCGTATTTCCCTAATATGATTTCAATTAAAATAAAATACTACTGTCGGAGGATATTTTGTTCATTCCCTGAGTAGTTTAGCTTTGGTCTACTAAAAATCTATTTTTGTATAGATCTTTATATGTTGTACCGCTGAAAATTCGTACTTGGTCATTTTGTAGGGTCACGATGTTTCGAAAGCCTGCGGAAATCCACACACGGTTTCTCACTTTCCATTATCACTTGGGGCAACTGATGAACTTGTTCAGTTCTTTCTTCTTTATACGGAAAATCTACATCGACATTCCATTACATATGACCTTGTTTAAGCAAATTGTATATATTATGAACTCCTCAATTAGTTAAATTGGAAATTTCGCCCAATTAGGTTGATTTAAATGTGCTAAGGCTGCTTTATTGATTACTGTAAAAAAATCTTTGTATGTTCGTTTAAAAACTGTAATTATAAAAATCTACTTCCTTGGTTCAGTGCACTCTGCTCTGCGCTACACTTTTAAAGTATGAAAGTTTATTCTAGAACGAACATACTGTCTAATACTGACGTGGAAATGGCTTGTAAGTCTGAACTGAAGGTTTAAGCTAATGAATTACAGCTTCACTGTTGTATGAGAACGATTGAATATAACAGAATGAGAGTATAATGCATGTCGCTAAGCTATTCAAACACAATTATTAATGAACTGGAATTTGGATGGTTATTTAACGGTTTATACCATCAGCTCAAAAAATCTAGATGTTCAGATTGGCTCGTTCACCTTACTTTTGAATTATGGGTACATCAGTCTTATGATGCGTTACTTTAATGCTAAGCATCTTGGCCAATTAATTATCCCAGCATTTTTCATAGAATAGTTCGTTATAGGCATCAGTGAAAGTAAGCTGACAAAGAATCAGATTAACACGAAGAAATCATTCGCCTCTGCTAAATCACTCACCGTTTCAACGTATTGCATCTTTTAGGAAACTCGTCATAGCTGTGTTTTTTACCTATCTTCCTGCATTTCATGTAGAGAATGCCATCATTTCGATTCAATAACCTTACAGGCGTTCTCATTTCAAATACCTGAACTATCAGTATATATTCGTAAAGAATTATATTTGTAAAATCTCAGTGGAATTGAAATGATTATTTCCAACGTTTCATTCGGCAATCTGGTCTACACTTCTTCAGGGAAATTAATCGAAATTAACATAACAGAGGTTTATATATAAAGGGAACGTTTCTTGTTTTTAAAACTTTGTCCAATCATGATTCATATAACAAGTATCAACAAGTATAATAAACAAAATTGTGTGAACTGTGATCAAGATTTGACCGAATAGTTGCAAGTCTGAGGTCAAATTTTGATCACAGTTCATATGTATCACTATATAGTCAGCTAATTCTGCTAATTCCTACTTTCTCTTTTCCTTTAAATAATTAAATATTAGCGAAGAAGATGTCACTCAAACAATATATCATAAATTTTACTCAAAATCAATTGAGCATCATGAATCAATGCTGACTATGCATTTATCCTCCACAGCAAAACTTGATTCTGTTACAGATACGTTAATTGAAGAAATGGAAAAGCTGAATGCATCCAAGTAAGTGCGTTGTTTTCAATTTGTATCATGAAGCAAAAGTTGTCTTTTTTGCCTATAAGTGCATGTGTTTGTGTGTAGACGTGTGTGTATGCAAGATTTGACAATTTTTGTATCATATTATGTTGGAGTGACTTATAAATTTGTTCTTAGGTCAGACACTTAACAGTGACGTTCAATAGTGCTTGTGTTTTATTGCAAATTGGTCGAAGTCAAGACCCATCTGATCAATTCCCACTCACTAGTTGAATGGTAATATGCCTTCAATAGTATTTTGATTCAATTTTTGTTCGTATATGCAAACAACTGATTGGTTCTTTAAAAATTAATTAAAAACATCCCAGCGTGATTAAGAAAAAGTTAAAACAAGATTTTTCTGAACGTTTCGCTGTGTAAGCTGCCACAGCTTCTTCAACGGAATTATTTGGATTCCATTAACCATCAAAATATTTAGTCAAAAATTACTAAATTGAAGTGAGTTCCTATGACGGTTGCCTGTTGATCGACACTTGTACCAATTTAGATAAAGCAATAAGAAGACGTAATTTGTGTGATACGTGTAATTTATTTGCGCAACACATTTCGAACAATCTGATCACACACAGAATTGTCATAGTTAATAAAGAGTGAAGAGGTGAGAAATTAGACTTAGGTCAAGTTAAAAGGATATATTGAAGGTCGAAATAACAATAAAGACCACTAAACCTAATAACAGAGGTAATAGTACATCTTCTGTGTTATTAAAACGAAGTTTACCAAAGAAGGTTTATTGTGATGACGAATTATTTTTGAACGCATAAAGGTGGTTTAAACTTTCTAATTGCTAGGGCTTCTACAAACTTTAAGAAACGCCCCAAACACGTTTTATATATAGGTTTAAAAGATCTGTTAACGTCGATTTTATGTCCTGTTTGTATAATGTTTCGCAATAGAGGAGCTAGGTCTCCTGTTCTCGCCATTAATGGGTTCTGAAGATTCCATTTGTTTCTGGAGCCATTTAGGAATATGCTCTGAAGCCCTTGCTTGCAGAGATCGATGAGTCCTCCTTACGTATGTGTGTATACACCTACATTCAAATTGGGATGTGACATCATTTTCTGCATGTTCTAAGAGCTTAGATAGATATATTGGCTTCACATTATCAATTATTATGATATTAACTGCATAAAAAGTCTCTTTAACAGCAGCGTTCAGTCTTTGTCTAGTTATCAAGCTGCTTTGATGCCCCATATAGGGTAGCTTGATGTACACGTCTTTCTTAGGGGGTGAGTTGTAGAGTGGGTCTTGGTGTTCTGACTACTTTACATCTCCTGATGAACTTGTGTAGATAATTGTTATCAACCAGAGTTTCTGCCATCTTCCTTTCTCCTTCATCAAGTGTATCTTCAGTGCATATTCGTTGGATTCTACTAAAGAGATACCTTACTAATGCCCTTTTGTACCGAACAGGGTAGAAACTTTGGTAATTAAGATACTGTCCTGTCCATTTAGGTTTTCCATAAATAGATCTTTTTATTGAACCATCGAGCTGTCGACTAAGCATTTTGTCTAAGAAAGAAACAATTATGGAAAAGTTAAACTTCAAGCACCGCTAGCCGTCAATGGAGGGCGGCCGCACCAATGACCCTGAAACGCTCACTGAAACCTGGCAAATAATGTTGTCGTCATCAATAAAATATGCTCGTCGAAGTGTTATCCTATTAAATCGGATATCAGGCAAGTTTTAGCTTAGGTTTGGGGAAGATTAAGTTATGCTTTAAGCAAAGGAAAAGTGAGGGTTAGGTTAACCTAACAATAGCGACATTAGGGTTGGTTATTTCATCATGAGCTGACATTAGTTAGAGAACCATTGGAAAACCTGGGAGTACTGGACAACTGTTTCGTCCTAGTTTGGGACTCTTCATCAGTACGCACCCACCGGGATTCGAACCAATCAAATCCCTACAAACCAACACTTAAATACCAATGAGATGCTCACTGGCGACTGGCCCTGTTCAGGTAGGTAGTTACCTGGGTTCCAGTGGGAAGTCGTGACCAGTAGGGTGCAGCAGGTCGGACGTGAAGACAAATACTCGCCGAAGACATTGGCTAGCGGTCGCGCTATGTCGTGAATTGGCAAAAGTTGCAATTCAAGGACCATTGGATCGGGTCCCAGTGGCTTTATGGTATACGAGCTCGTCTTGTAACCGGAAGGTCCTGGGTTCGAATCCCGGTGGGTGCGTACTGATGAAGAGTCCCAAACTAGGACGAAACAGTTGTCCAGTACTCCCAGGTTTTCCAATGGTTCTCTAACTAATGTCAGCTCATGATGAAATCCTGAAACTAATCAAATCCCTACAAACCAACACTTAAATAGTTTACAGTTAGTTTAGGCATATTTTCACGTTATAGTTAGGTTTAGGAGAGATAAGGATTATTGTTAGGGTAAGAAGACCTAAATGGTTACATGCATAGAATGTGGTTATCCACTGTGGTGAAGTATAATTCCATTGCGGGTAAAATTTATTTTGATAGTCTCAGTGTTATTCAGTAATATTTACTGATGACAACGTTTCGAGCACAACTTATTGCTCAATACATATTACTGTATAACATTCTGAAAACTTATCAAAATAGATTTTACCCAAAACATAATTATACTCTGTTGATACTCCAACCACAGACAGCTCTGTTTTATTTGAAACTCCTGGATGAAGAGAAAATATTATGCAATAAACTACGCCGGAAATTGTGCATATGATGTGTATAATAAAGCTTATTATTATTATTATTATTTTGATAACTTTCGTTAAGCATTTTCAGGCAGAGCTTACTACATTTTTAGATGTTTATTTTCAAGGCAATTTTGTCTGAATAGCAAAAAGTACAACATGCATAACTTTACATATTTATCCCATTATAATTTATACTTATCCTCCCGTCTTCCAGGCTGATTGTACCAATAGTCACATGCTATGCAAAGAAAGTTCCACCTAATTATGAAGCTGCACTACTTAGACTTAAAAAATTATATGGTAAGCTGTAGAAGTGCACAGTTAATGTATGTATTTATGTATGTCGTATTTGACTGACAAACGTGCTAGGCTGAAATCGATTACCAAAATATTGTAAAACGAGAGACAATTGTGGTGATTAATCATAATAGATTTTTACGAGTTGATCACGGATTGATATCATTTAGAGAACCATTGAAAACCAGGGAGTACTGGACAGCTGCTGTTTCATCCTAGTTTTGGGAATCATCGACAGTACGCACCCACTGGGATTCGAACCCAGGACCTTCCGGTTACAAGGCAAGCTCGTATACCATTCAGCCACTGGGACCCGATTCAATGGCTCATAAATTCTACAAACCCTTACAAACCAAACTATAGCAAAACATAATAGATTTGTAGGGCGTGAGGTAGGAAAATTGACAAGTCAGTTCAAGGTTATAAAAGGTGTCAGGTGAGTGGCTAGTACAAAGAGGTCTATGTTAAACAGGAAATAGTAAGACTGTAATGAGAGGTTCATAATGAAATAACGAATATGTGAAATGAAACAGGTGGAGGTATATATTGAGAAAAGAGATAATATCACTAATAGTAAGTTCGGATAGTATAAATGAAAATTCGATAGTATTGGGGGAATGTTTGCATGAAGGGCATAAATTAATCTAAATTTTAGAATTGCTGAACTATTAGGACTGATTACATTTCAATTGTAAATCAGTAATAATAATAATAATAATGAAGAGCTAAGGTTAGGTGAAACATCTTTGAGTTGCTGTGTGAACATTGGACGACTACTCACCTGACACCTCTTATAACCTTGAACTGACTTGTCAATTTTCCTACCCCATACTCTACAATTCTATTATGATTAATCACCACCATTGTGTCCCGTTTTACAATATTTTGGTAATCGATTTCAGCCTAGTACGTTTATCAAACAAATACGACTATTTATTTTGACACCCCATAACTAATCTGTTATTTATGTATGTATATACATATATATCACAAGACAAACTCTTTATTCGAATTTGGCATATCTTTATGCATGCATTTTGCGTATTAGTGAACAGTGAGTAGTAGGAGGAAAATGAGGAAAAGTGAGTTATTCTTGAATCAGTGTATCTAATTTTTAATTCATGTGAAACGTAGAATGTAGTTTGAATGTGTACTCATTTTCTCCATTCTGAAGATAAACATTTGAAGATTGGTCTATAAGTGGAATCTGAACTCCGCTTGAGTCTGTCCGTTTCAAGAAGTACTTCTGGTAGTTACAGTTCATGTAACTTTTTTTATTAAAGTTTTGGTTTGTTCACTGATTTCATTTGAGGAAAGTCTGTTGGATTTATTATTTTGATCATTGTTATTTGTAATCCTTTGAAGTTGAAGGAAGTGTATCGCGTTTTGTTAGTATTCATAATGTTTCTCACACCACTGACTAAAACTCGTCTTGCGTCCCACGTGAAACATAGCTCTGAAATTTCATCAACGATGATTTTTTTATGAGTTGGGATTTCTCGCCTCACACCCAACCTTTCCTAATTTTCCAAATCCGGCCCGCTGCATGGTTGGCGAGCGTTCTACAAATGAGTCACCGCAGCACCACATTAAAACAATAATCCAAACTAATTGACTACTATTCCATCTTCTACTTACGTCATACTTCAGTTCCCGATATCGTTTTAATTTGCCTTTACTGGCTATTGAATCCTAAAATTAATTAACTTATAACTCCAAAGTCTGGAGTAGAAGTAACTGAAAACAGTTATTCGCTCTAATTATCCTTCTTATGAGTAACTTTTGATTTGTAAGAATCCTCTTAATCGAGGAAAGTTTGAACCAGGAACATAGATACACAAACTGATGTATACCTGTCCACCACTGACTGATAGGTTAATTTCCCTAACACTCATTTAAAGTTTGTATCACTCATTGGTGGTAACCTTGGGCCATAGTACTGAAGTCCCTAGTAAAGATTTAGAGCAAATTTGTCGTCCATTAATTTAAGCACTTTTAATCTGATCGGTCCAAAATCCAACCTACTAAATGTCGTCTTAGCGACAAGGTGGTTACATCATCAGCTCATATATATTAAATGTAACATTATGAAAAGAATGACCTTACGTCTTATTACTACTTTTATATCTATATATTGGATTACTACTTGACTTTGAGTAATGACACCAGTTTACTTGAGCGAATCACTCCTGGACATAACTGATAAAGGTGGTTATTTTTCCCCCTTACTTCTGTCATTGATTTGTTTCTAAAATTAAAAGAAATCCTTTTCCTAATTCCCTTAGTGACGTAATCGCTGAAAATATGCACTATGTAGTAGTTTTATTTATTTATTTTTTGATGTAGTTCGCTTGTTGATTCTCCTGAGTATTAAGAAGTGTAAAAGTTTTTTCCCGTCCAAAAAATTTGCGTGATTGCTTTTCGTACATTCAGTTTTTGTTTTTTAAATAGAATTAATTAACAAAATTATCTTTTCTTCTTTCTTTCTGTGAAGACTTTTCTTACTTTTATAAGTCAAAGTTAAAAAATCCAGTAAATTTTTGTTTAAACTCTTTCTTGCTATTTTTAGGCAAATTTTAAAAAACCTATATTCAAGATGTGTAATTATTTCCTGTCATTCGGTCATGGGGCAAGTGATGCGAATAAACATAGTAATGTAGCGAATTTATTAGGAACAGAAAACGGAATGTGGTCTGTAATGTTGTCTACACTTGTTCTATAAAGTTTAATAATTTGTCAAACGTTCTTGTAGTGTGAATACTGTAAACTGATAACACTAATGATTAATGAGAATTTTTTACCGGAGTAAGGATCAAAGGGATTGATGAAATGTTGTGTATGTGTATGTATATATAAATGGAATATACTTAGTACTTTCATGCACTTACCGTTCAGTCATATGTGTTGTGAAAATACTCATTATAGCATCTAGCTGTGTTGAAAACCGTTACTCACTTGAAGATATATTATCGTCTTTATAAGTGACAAATCTTTATTAGAATGAGAATATTGTCAATTATCGCATATTGGAAGCGACGTGTTTCAATCTTAGCTGTGTCATTGGAAGTATTTCTTTATCCGGAATTTAATCTTCAAAAAATTGTAGTTGGTAGATAATCTCAGAACACAGTTTAAGCGGTAAATTCCCATCAGGCTTTACAATTACGTAACAAAATGTCAGTCATAGATCTTTGAAACAAATTGAGTTCATATAGGAAACAGAAAAAAATTTCTTGATGTTCTGTTAACAAGAAAGCAAGTTGGGAGTACTAAGCGGAGTATTTTCCGGAAAAAATCATGGGTTGGCCAATACACCCATTTCTGCCTTTACAACTCTTTACAAGGTATCACCTCAATTCCCCCTAATTTATATGCCTTCAATTATTAAGCATAGTCGAGGCAGTTAACATTAATTTTTTTCATCCCAACCTTTGTGAACAGAAAAAGTTTGTTCAATCCCTCTTTCTCCCACTGTCCCGTTGACACTGTATTACTGCAAATATTATTTTTATTTGTACTGTCTACTTCATTATCATGCTGCCTTATATCTGCATATTGTTATCTTAATTTCACAATTTATTATTATTCTGCGTACATTATCTTTGGTTATATTTGATTCTATCGATCCACATTGTTTCAAATGTCTCTGATTGATTGATGAGAATGTACCGAAAATCGTGTTCTAAGATCATCTTAATGCGAATTGTTAGATTTTGTAGATGACAGTATCAAGACCTGTTTATGAGAATATCATATGTACATCAGTATATTATCTCTGGTATTAGAACAAGTGATAAAACCAATGAACTGTGTTTAGGCTACTACTCATTTTTTTCTCTTATGGCTTTTCTCATTTTCTAGTTCTGCCACATTATTCTGCAATCTTTTTAAGGATAATCACTCTACCTAATCATAAGTAGTCCTGTTGTTTGAACGTGAATTTTGCCTGGTACATTTTAACTTTAGGTGTATGCGTAGCTTCATCCTAATGTTTTATGGAATAATGAAAATGTGATTTGGAAATTAAACGCAAGTTAGTAAGTAAATTAGTCGGTGAGATTTTGAGCTTTCAATGACTGTATCTGCGTCACACCAAACCACCATGATTCTTGTACAACACTGTTGTTACCTGAAGCAAGAAATGACATGGGGTAAGAACACAATGTCAGTCGATGTAGTCTTTTTTCCGTCCTCTGAACGACATAGTTCAGAGTGATTAGTTGTCCATCTGACTTCTTTAGGACGCCTTGAATCGATAGCTGAAAAATTTCCAGTAAAACTGACAAAAATTGTTAACAATATCGATTATTTTAATATTTAATTTTGAACTTCTCTTGTTCTGAAGTTTTCCATCGTTTTGTTCTTTTTACTACGGTGCTTTTCTTTTCTTGGGCACTGTTTCTATACGTATCAGTTTAAAGTGATACGTTCGTTCTTTGAAATCTTAATTATTTGGATTCAAATTAAATTCAATTGTTTGTTTATTAATTTTTATTATTATCATTTGTTTTTAGATTAACATTCACTTCCCTTTGATTGATTGTATTTAACCGAAATGCTCGATCTCTTTTGATATGTTGGCTCCTAGTACAGCCCCTTTGACGATATTTGAGGATTAACGTGAAGTTATTTTAGTTGATGGTGACTAACAGTGGAATCCAGAATGGGTGTAGGTTTCGAGTCTCATCACTTATTGGGAGCGCCAGTACATCCAGATGACTAGTCTTTAACGGGACGAAATACACATTGTGGATTCCACTGCTAGTCACAATCAACCAAAATAATTTCATTATCATATTTAGCTAGTTTTATTCAAGACAAAGGTTCTGTTTGTTACATTTTTCATGGGAGGATTGTTTGCTTTTAATTGCGTACATTTCGTTAATAATGTTATAACTGACGTTACTGTTTGTAGATCGTGGAGAAATTCAGACTTGGAATACTGGATTACGCCATTTACAGTATTTTGCTACGCCAATAGAATTGTATAAAGTTGCACTGGGCACATATGATTTGAACTTAGCTGAAACAATGGCACAACGTACTCAATTAGACCCTAAAGAATATTTATTCGAATTGAAAGAATTACGATTGTTAACAAGTGATTTAAACAAATGTCACTGTAGTACATTTGAAGAAGCAATAGCTTATCAACGGTATAAAATTGACAATTGTTTGAAAAGATATTCAAAGGCTGTTTTACATTTGATTGCATCAGGTAAGCAGCTCATTTTGTTTCTGTTAAGCCTCTATCCTCTTCAGTTTTCTTTTTTCTATGTCATCTTAGTAATTGCAACATGACTATCCATCTGTATTCTAGTTGCCTCTATTTAAACTGTATTCCAAATTTCGTTGTACTTATTTCAAAAAGATGATAGTTGACTGGCTGCTGATGAAGCTATGGAAAGTATTCTGAGATGATGGAATTCTGTAGTTCTCATTCAGTGTCGTTTTCAACATCTGTGGTTAAAATAAATTAATTTGCTTACAACCAGACTAGTCAACGATTAGTTATCACACTGGTAAATAAACAGTCAGTTTATGGATCATTGACAGAATTAAGGTTAATTTTACCAGAAAACAACTGATTTGAAAGTTAGTATGGAACAGAATGTTATGGTTTTTTGGAGTTTCGTTTGCTGTTTTACTGATTAAATTTTAAAAATTAAAAAATTTTATGCTTTTGTGTCGTGACTACGGAATTTCCGAATTTGGATTCGTTTCCAATGCACGACAGTGCATGACGGATCGTTCACTAGGCTGCCATCTCCACACTGGGGAGAACATAGAAGAGTGATTCAGAGGACAATAACTTATTACTGCATGAAAAAGGCAATATCATTAGAAATTATATGATTATATATTTAATTCACTTTACTAATAAGTTACAAGTGCAAGATATGAAAACTATGTTTTGACTAGACAGCATGCATCCATAAAAAACCAGTGACTAACTTAGGATCGATTGGCTTGTCTGCATATAATGTAAGGAACACTGATTCATATACGTTAGTGGCATAGCGGTTAGGACGCTCGCCGACCATGAACATGGTCCGGGGTTCGATCCCCGGCCGACGCACTCCTTTACCTCGCTAAGCCAGAAATAATGTTGGTAAAGAGGAAAGGTTTGGCATGAGGCTAGCAACCCCATCCTGTAAAAATAAACACTGCTACAGAAACTTAAAGCCAATCCCTTGGAGCCCTATGTTCCACTGGGGAACGTGAAGGAAAAAAATGTCTTCTCCTGTCCTAACACTCCAAATGACACAAAATAGTATCTTTACATGACGTTTGATATAACAGAAAAATTTTTGCGTCAATTTCTTTAATTACTTTGGCATTTTAATATGGATTTTTAATTTACGATGTTCATCAATTTGATTGGAGAGAAAATTACTAGCCGGTGATCCTGGCAGATAATGACACTGTAATACCGAATTGGGCGAATGTGGAGATCTTAGACCGTTGAATACTAACTGAATAATAGCATTTCAATGTAGATTTCGTCACGAACCAACATCAGTTAGAGACCATTGAAACCAGGGAGCACTAGACAGTTGTTTTGTCCTAATTTGGTGCTCCTCCTCAGTGCACACCCAAGATGTGGTTCATTGGTTTAAGCACTCAACTTCCTGAGTCCGAGTGCGGCCCCAACTGCTTCATCCTGAATAATTCGGTAGTATCATCAGCCATCACTCATTAAGTGTGCCTTTTCGTCCGGTACTGAGTAACTGAGTTATAACTAACTAACTCACTAAGTAAACACAACCATGACCCCATCAGGGATTGAACCTGAAACCGTCAAGTAACAAGAAAATCCTCGCTGACTGTTCATCACTTGAGCCGGAATTCAGTGACCTGTTTATTCTGTTTTTGTCAGTTATAGTATACCCAGCAGATCAGTTACTCAAAATATGATAACTTGTTACTTCAAAATGAAGTAATGCCATTAACGTTTTTAAAGTTTTACTTCGACTTTTTATGTGTCTTCAATTTATCTTATCAAAAGCTCTGTGCACATTTTGATAGATTTTTAAATAGACTTCATCTTCTTCAAGTCATCTGCACTACGTAGTTAACGTGTGAAGATTTAGGTAATTGGTTTAATTACTCAGCTCTCAGTCAGTAGGTTGAGGCATGTAGCTTCATTTAATCCACTTCGGCCTGAACAGTTGAGTAATATCATCAGGCCTCATACAAGATATGCGTCTCATAACCTGACAGGTGATGGATGTCCAACACAAAATCTAATTAACATTGAAAATAAGTCTTTAATTGCACCTCTGTCTTTCTAGTTGTTCGTGTTTGTCATGTGGAGTTGATTAACCCTCCCCACTTCTGTTAACACTCTGTGCAATCCGTTAACTAATTAAGTAATATCTAATTATGAATAAACACCATATATTTGTACACAAGATCATTTGGTAGCGGAAATACTTATTGGCAGCTCAATGTACTGATATAGACAAAGTATGTCGAATACATAATTAAAATCACAATTTGTATATATCTTGGGTATTGTGCTACTTTTGTCCTCCATAATCTGCTCCTTTGTCTTCCTCTCATGTTTTCTTTCACAAGCAGTGTTCATTTTCTCTCGTCTGCATCAAATTCATCTCCTCGCCATTTGACATTCTTGAGGATGACATACATGTTTATGTTTGTTTGAATCTTGTATAAGCGAGAAAGGCATGCAAATTGATCTCTAACGTTTCCTTCTTTCCATTATGTTTCCTGACTTAAGGCTTTCGTATGTGTTTCCATTTTAATGTCTGTGTTACTGATGCAAGGAATAATAATATCCCAACTATTATTGTTATTATTATTTGATATTTTTTAGGTTCCCAACATAGAGATGAAATGTTGTCGTATGTTAAAACACATCACTTATACGCACATGTAGCTGAAGTATTACCCAAAGGATCTGAAGAATTCAAGGTGCTTGTTTCTATTTATATTGTAATAATAATAACAATAATAATGTAGACAGTAATCTATCGTTTGTATACTACTCAGTGCCAAAAGAATGTTTTCCATAACATTCGTCAGCTTCGTTCGAACTAGCAATTCATAAGTTGATGTATAACATATTAAAGGCTGTGACGCATATTTCGTATAATCCAACTAATTAGGTCGCAAAAATTAATTCATGGGAAGTCAAAAAATACCTATTTTCAGTAAATTTTCACTCGACTATGAGTTGCTCTGTTCATTTTAGGTGGTTTTCATGAACATTGCTACACATGTCATCATTAAACATTATTCCTTACAACATGTCACATTAGTTCAAGGTAAGAATAATGTATTTTTGAACACTTCTCTCTATATCAGGTATTTTCAGTAAAGAAGGGAATAGGTTTGCATCTTGACTCTCTCAATGACTGTTGAGGTACAACAGAACAGCATATAAAGGGATATATAGCTTTTATATTTCTTAAACCTTGGGTTGTTGTGATAGGGATGTCTAAGCTAGTAGTAAACACAATGATCACATGTATCGCTTGATAGTCGACGATGTTATTCAGCGGCTACCTGATTTCCTAACCCGCTACTTAAGCTAGAACACACAACAATAACAATAATACATATAGAAAACAAAGAATGCATACATGGGCCAGCGACATAGGCGTTATAAAAAGTAACCCACTTGTTATCTATTTATCCATTTATGAGACCTATGGTTGATCCATTTTCCATACTAGCTATTGATCCAAATGTCATCTCTCCCTTTGGAAGAGAAGCACTACTTGGAGTCAATCTGGAACCTCATTGTCTGTTTCCTGCACCTCGCTGATCGAGGTCGGTGAAGTAGATCGTTGTCACACGACACATCTGCATCTTCCTCAGTTTCTTTTTCGAGCTGTATTCTTAATGTAACTATCCAGTGAAAAACTGTTGATTGAAGTCTTTCTATTGGGACGCATTCGCCGTCGTCTACGTGTCTGTCTCTCCCTGCCAACTTTGACACCCTACATGATACTACCACGTATGGCGTTAGTCAGTCCTTCTATCCATTTTCTAAGTCGTGTTCTGTAGTCTCTCTCTGATCTTACGACTCGACTGACTGTGTTACTTTGTCTAACTGATGCTGTAGGATACTTTGACAGGAGTTCGTTGATAGCTTGATATTCCCTTTTTTTTTAATCTTAGGTATATTCGCTGATATCCCTTCTTGATATGGTAACGCTACAGAAGCTTCAACTTTTTATTAGTTGCCTGCTAGTCAGCACCTACTATGTCTTAAAGCTTTCCAACAATTCCTGGAAGGTGACGGCTAAGAGATAGTGCTTGTTTAGTATATTTGAAATAAACAGCTGGTTTTGAACTACTAATCAAACTTGCACCTCGAGAACTTCAAATCTCAATTGGCCTATCTTAAATAATGCAAAATTAGTAAAAATGCGCTTTAATTATCCATCAAAATGTATTTGATTTTTTCTGTGAACAGTGGTGTTACGACTTTCGTTTTCTTTTCAGCTTTATTTATGACCTATAATTGGTAACTTTTTAAGTCATTAGTGTAGTTAATCGCATTTTTCCACCATATTTATGTAAGTGAAAAATCCTCTGGTATGATATACTTTTAACACAATAGGAATAACATATTTCCGAATATTTTCGTTGCATATTCGAGATACGTTCACGTATTTTCACAGCGTTATATTTCCTAATTTTATTTATTTATTTTATTTTTGATTACAGCTTGATTCCACACTGTATTCTTGGTACAAGTATGGAATTTTCAGCATGGATATCGGTAGCCCAAATTTTGCAGACCAACCATAGATATCAGGTGTGCGTCGGCAGGGGATCGAACCTCGGACCATGTGCATGGTCGGCTAGAGTCCTAATCACTGTGCCACCAACACAAACAGTTCTATTGGGGATCCTTTTTGTTTGTGTAATCCATCGATGTCATTTCTTCTATTGCTAGTCTAGGTTTATTAGTAGATTCATTTCTGAGTGATTTATGTGCTAGTTAGTGTACTGTCGTGTTAGTATCGAAATAAATCATTTTGGTGCAATCGCTTGTTGTATAGAAGTCTAATCGATGTTTCAATTGAAAGTGTTCAGTCTACATCAACAAAATACTGTTGTCTGGATATGTATGGTCAAAAGTTCATCTTGAGATTACGATATCTCGAGTGTTTCTGATGCTCATGTATCGAATCGGTTGCCTTCAAACGCTTTTTAGTTTCTATATATTCATCCTAATTCTGCTTTGTAGTCATCAAGTCACCTTATTCTTGTGTGACTGCTGTGTTAAATTCTGAGTTCCTTGTTCCTGCGTGAATATATATATATATACGTATGATTTTTGTCGCTATCTTGAACTGGTTCTGCGAATGTAACCCATGCCAATTTGCCATTCTTGATGAATCCACATTTAGACTTTTGTCCCGTTCCATTTTCCGACTGGTTACTTCTTTTCATCCAGGAAGATGTGAATCGCACACACTAGGTGATAATTGTGTTGAAGATAGCCCTCAAGGACGACGTAACGGTACTTTATGGATTATTAGCAGCTGGTTTAAAAACTGTTTATTTAAGTCCACAGTTCAAATATGCCCTAGTCCTTTTGAAGCTGTAGAAGGTACTACTACTATTTCCTAGTTCGCTTCCTTTACAATTTTGTATTCTGTAGTCTCCGCCTAGGAATTCATCTCTCTACTTCAGTTGCATAGAAAAGCTCAGCTATCATTAGGCTTCTGATTATTATTATTATTATTCCCTTGGCTTCCGAGTGTAACATTGACCTTCATCAGCACCTCTCCATTTGGTTCATTCCCATAGTTTCTTGTTGCTAACTTTTTCTGGCCATCTGATCTTTAATATGGAGTCAGCGAAGGCAGTTGTTGATAAAAGTCTTCATCAGACTGTTGGGAATGCTTTTCGTGACACACCAAGTTTCCGACCTATATAAAAGCAATGACTGATTTAATATTGATGTTGAAAATCCGAATTTCGTTCTTTAATGTTGAGTACAGCAGATTTCCAGAATGATTTCACGAGGATGAAGGTGTGCCTTGCCTTCCCGATTCTGGTTTTGACATCCTCATGCGTGGTGCCTTTAGTTGAAACGATACTTCCTAGATAAGTGAAGGAAGTAAACCCTTCCAAATTTATTCCGTTAATAGTGATTGATGCTTGTTGTTTTTGGTTGGTGGTTATATTCACCACTTCCGTCTTGCCTCTTCTTTCTTCCTAAGAGAGTTGCACAGGTTTCTTCAGTGACGCAACATAGTGCCTCCGACTTTCCTCTGATGGTTACAGTGAATGCGTCCTTTGCACTTTCATCCCTCAGTTTCTGAGTATTGAACCTCCAGCTCTTCTGAAGGCTCCCAATTCGCCCCTGAAAGCTCCGTGTTCTAGATAAGAGGTCTGAGCCGACATCTGCTCCTCTTCTCGATTTTGTGCCTAGCAGGTTGGGTCGCCACTTTCTTGAGATTGGGATGAAGTCCATGTGACTTGTGATGTGTCCGTCAGGTGAAACCCATCTCGCCTTGTGTGTATCCCTATGTTTTTACACACTACCTCTAGTCACCAAATCACAGAATTCTGCGAAGAGTTCTCCGTTCTCGTTAATTTTTGCAAGAGCCTCTTGACCCTTGGTAAGTGACTGTCCAGTCGACTGTCGGAGAGTCGACATCCATTCCACCTGGTCTCACAGATTCCTATCACTCCTGTGGTATTCTGATTTCTTTTGCAATCTGAGCAGCCTTCTGAGCTTCGTATGTTGTACGAACATTCCATGTCCCAGTTTTTATTTCTACTTGCATCGAAAGAAGAAACGTTGGCTGAATGGCTTCCCGAATGCTTTCACCAGCCTGTGTCATTCCGTCTCTTCGATTCCAGTGAAGAATAGGTTTATTTTTTATGAGATTGTAGTTTCTGTAGCGACTGGGTTGATTTTTGAGGTTATGGTCTCTTTCCCCACATCCAACCTCCCCTCTTTTTCCGGACTTAGAGACCGTCGAGAAAATTAGTGAACTGGTAAACTTAGGGAGATTATTGTTTCACGATGTGCAGATATAAGGAGAAAAAGTTTTCGGTAATATTTTTCTTCAGAAATGCCCTTTGCCTAGTTTCGGTTCACTAAATTTGAACTTTCTCGCCCTATTGTTGTATTTTACGAATATGCAGCCTAGTGGGTGGTATCGTTGAGAAGAACAAAATTTTCTACACTGCAACCCTGTGTTTGATTGTTGCCTCAAAAAATGCAGTTTCGTGGTATAAACACTCCGTAAAAATTGTTTTCACTCGGCATATTATTTAGCTATCACTATATCTGTCGTATTCGGTGCTATTATGTAGCAACTGACATAGATCGTGTTTCCTTATTAGGTCCCAAAATAGGTGTGCTAAACGAGCAACACGACTGTTATGTGATGACATCAGGTTTATCTGATTTGTGACCATTACTCGTCGACATGAGTGGTTAACAAAATCTCACAGTCCGTCACTGGCATTTACTGTACTTCTTTTCAATCCGATGGGTCGTATACCTTAATACATTTATTTTTGAAAGGAGACTATATAGTTAGCGAACCAATGATTTATTTTTTCATTCTACCTAGTAATATTTAAGACAGCAATGGTTGAAAGTCATTTGCTTTCGTATGTGATAATTATGATTTTTATATATCTATTTTGTAGGAACTTTGCCTTTCTTGGGCTGAATATTTAATCTCTACTCAAAATCTTATCTCTGCTGGTCAGATTTATATGAAAGGGGGTTATTTTGGTTTAGCAGCCAAGACATTTTTATCTGCTACGCATACTCAATTATGGTGTGTAGCTGCCACACGTGGTCGTGAAGTAAATGACAAACAAGCTGACGAAACAGAAACCTCTGGAAGATTCCTGACGGATACAGACAGACGTACACAGGCATTAAAGTTAACAGGTACCTTGTCTGTTTGTCCAAAGTTGTTGAATGATTACACGTGAATTACAGTGGATTACCTTTCTAGAATACTGATTTTATGTTTGTTAATAAATGAAATCCCTAGAAAATAAACAACCGTCTTGAGTGTACAATGGTATTAATTTTTTATCTAGTAAATCTGGTTTATTATTGTTCAACTTAGTGGTTTTTCAGGCGGCATAAATACAAATGCACGTAATACAATTTAAAAATCAATGAGTTAAATCAACATATTGTTCTGCAAATGAACAAATGCTAATAATGTAGGGAATCTTCTTGTGTACTTCCGTACATAAAGTTAAATGGCGTAGGAATACTGTTGAAGTGGGTCCGATTACTAGTTTATGCTCCATATGCTAACAGTACAACTCTAAGTTTATTTTACTGTTCAGGTGAATGCTCTTTATCAACAAATATAAGGCCTAGTAGGTATTCTACTGCCACTCAATACAGTTGTCTGTAAATTCACTAATACAAAGACTGAAACATTCATCGTACTTTTTATTAGCAGTTTCTTAAGTCATAACAATGAATCAGGTGATTAATTTCCTAATAATTTTCCTCAAATAATTATACGACGTTTTCTTTTGGAAGGTTAGTGAGTAAAAATGTGATAAAAAGAGGTATAAGATGTTTTCTATTCCATTAACAAATTGGACACATTAGTTGACACTATTTCACTAGTACGATTTGGATACCATTCACTTTGTTGTTTCTTACTTTTACTGCTTTTTCTACAGCTCGATTAAAAGATCTTCGACGTCATCAAGAAGCTATTCAGGTTTACGTCGATATTTTGGAGGTAAGACAATTATGTGTTCTGTGTTAAATATTTTTCCGAGTGAAATGATTAGTAAGAAACTGGTTTTTTTCATTCGATAGCAACAATTAACTAAAATAATTCAAAGCGGTTTGCCTCCCTCATGTGGTGTCGTCTGGAAAGCAACTGTTTGACAGTGTTTTAAAATGAGTGTAGAAGCATTATTCTAACTTCAAGAAATAATATGTAGAAAGATATCGGTCAGCGGAGAATATTCTTTTTCGTAACTTCTTTTCAAAGCTGTACAGTTATATAATTTTGTAAAAGCTTCATGAATTCCCCAAAAAGGTCACTTAGTCATATAAGTTTGTTACACCATCCGAAAGCAATAGGTGCGGGGCATCGTTCAGAAATGATATATAAATATAAAACAAGACTGATTCAACAACCAATCACAGCAGACTTGGCGTAGGCAGATACAGTCAGCATATAGATGGCCTGACATTCAAGAAACAGTCACAAAGAGATGCAAGGTCAACCTTCTGTAAGAAACAACCAATCAGAAGACTGTGTTTGTCTGCTTGAATAAGCTACAATAATGTACATGAAATGTATATAAATACGTGCTGATTTCCTTAATAAACGATCTGTTGCGTGGCCCTTGTCTTTTGTCGTTACAATTGGTGTCGCTGTCTCCGAAAAATGAAGATCCCATGGCCAACTGCGTTTGAAGAAGGAGACATACGGAGCTTCTTACGTGACTTCGAGGCCGTCGCTGAGCTGTTAGGTGTCAGAGAGCAGGCGGCGAAGGCGGTTGTCCTGGGGACGCTGTTGAGAGGTCGAGCGAAGGCCACACATGACAGCGTAGACAGGTCAAATGGCACAGCGTCTTGGAAGAAATTGGTTGAACGATTGGTGTCGGAGTTTGACAGCACAACAGACAGACAGCTAGCGATGCAGCAGTTCCGTTCAACGAAGCTGGGACCTGATGGAGACCCGTTAGTGTTGGCGGTGAAATTAACGAATCTACTTCGACGTGCGCTTCCCACTTCGGATGAAGAATCAGACGCGCAGTTACTGTCTTCCCAGTTCATCGAGAGTGTCCCAGACCACATTTCTCAGCGATTACAACTGGTTAACGCATCACAGCCGATGGATATTAGTGAACTGGCGAAGGTGACCAAACAGCTTCTGAGCACAACTGTAGCCGCTATAGAACAACCAAAACCGAACGAATACGAGCAGAAAATTGAAGCGTTGCAGCGGGAAGTGGCGGAGTTAAAGTTGGGTGTTAGGAAAGACCGATGTTTTGAATGCGGTAGGCCTGGACACTGGAGGAGATACTGCCCAAAAAGGCGACAAAGAAAAAGTTTCAGACGGCATAATACTTGTTCTTTCTCTCGTATGAAACTGGATTTAGCAGGGGCTATTGAGAAAGAGGCTGTGTATTCGAAGTTGCGACCGAAAGCTCCTACCTTGACGTGGTGGTCGGGCTTGAACACCGCAATGACCTAATCAAGCTATACTGGCTGAGACTTATGTCTCTTGAGGTTCTACCATGCCAGGCAGGTTGTTTGGATAGCGGTTAAACAAAAAGCAGCTACCCCATCCAATACCATGATTCAAACAAATTCACAAAATTTCATGCCGGATCGGCCGTGGCCCGGATTAACAACGACCGCGCTTCCTGCTGCCGTGTCACAGGGCGGGAGTGATAAATATGCTACTGAGGCACACCAAACAAAAAAGAACGAACAAAAACAGGCCGCGTGTGACCGGCCTCAAGCAGTTGTCCCCTGGGCTCTGCGGTCACGCAACCAACTTCCACGGTGTGGGCAGCCGGGAAGTAACAAACGCCCTCACAATCCGAAATGCACACAAAACCTCTCTAATCCTCACTTATCTTTGTCTTCATCTTCATCTCTATTATCTTGCCTTCCTCCCACTGATGCAACTCCTCTACTTGATGGCTCCTCACTCCCTCTTCACTCTGTGTCCACTAAAAACGACGGAAGCCAAAAAACCACCACCGATAGTCTCCTAAAGCCACGCCACCAATTTCATATAGGAGCTTTTAATGTTAGGACACTTTGCCAAATAGGACAACAAGCATCACTAGCTAAGACCCTGGCATCCGAGCCATTGATGTATGTTGTGTTTCAGAAACACGCATACAAGACCCAAGTGTGGTTATTCACCTAACCCCACCTGGCCAACAGGATGAATCTTCAAAATTCACCTTGAGGGTGTCAGGAGATGCCACAGCTAGTTCACGAGGATTAGCTGGCGTAGGGATAGCTTTGAGTACTAGGGCAGAAAAGACATTACTTGACTGGATCCCGGTAGATAGCCGAATGTGTGCTGTCCGTCTGAACGGATCAGTAAGAAGGAGAAAGGACTGCACTACTCGCCGATGCCTTTTCGTAATCTCCGCCTACGCCCCCACTGACTGCAGTTCGGATGAAACGAAGGATGAGTTCTACCAAAAGCTGTCTAGTTTGGTGAGAAAGGCTAAACGCTCAGATATAGTCGTTCTAGCTGGTGACTTTAATGCTCAAGTAGGGAAATTGTGTCAATCTGAGAAGGATGTCGGTGGCACCTATGGAGTTCCGTGCCAGCGAACCGACAACGGTGACCGTCTCCTACAGTTCTGTTCAGATAATCATTTGTTTCTTGTAAGCACTAACTTTAAACACAAGGAGAGACACTGTTTGACCTGGCGACCCCCATCATCAAACCAACGCTGGACACAAATAGACCACATAGCAATAAGCTATCGTTGGCGTGGGTCGGTAGGAGATTGTCGCTCCTTCTGGAACACGTGTGTAGATAGCGACCACCCACTGGTCCGCGCTCGGGTGTGCTTACGACTGAACGGACGTAGGAAACAGCTGGCGGTAAAACCATCACGTCCCCAGCTCGATCAGGAAACTAAATCCCTATTTGAGGAAGAACTAGCTAAACACATATCTGAGTTCGACAGCTGTGCTCACCCTGGAGAAGCCTGGAAGAATATTCAGTCAGCTATAGATACAGCTGTAAAAGCTGTGAATAAGGCAAATCCAAAGGTGAGTAAAAACCACTGGATTTCGACTGCCTCATCCGAACTGATAGATGCTAGAAGACTTATTCCGGCGAGCTCCGAATTCAATGAGGAGCGAAAGCTGCACAAAAGGAAACTTACTAAAAGTCTCCGCAAGGACCGTGAACAGTGGTGGCTGACAAAGGCAAAGAGATGGAAAAAGCATCGGCGATAGGCAACACTAGGCAACTCTTTAGACTCATCAGGGAAACGGGTGGGAGAAGGCAAATCATAAGTGAGACTATTTCTGAGAAAAATGGCTCCTTAATTAGCTCTCAGGATAGACGCCTTGAACGCTGGAAAGAACACGCGGCAGGACCCGACGGAATTATTCCGGAGGTGTTTAAATATGGGGGTGACATACTAGTTTGTAGATTAACTGAGGTACTAGGCAACGTCTGGGAATCAGAGACGGTTCCGTCAGACTGGGGTAAGTCACTTATTATACCGATATTCAAGAAGGGAAACAAGTCCTCGTGTGATAATCATAGGGGGATCAGCCTAACAAACACAGTCTCTAAAATCCTAGGCTCAGTAATCATGCATAAACTAAGCAGAACTCGGGAGGAACAGACAAGGGAAAATCAAAAAGGCTTTAGACCAGGTAGAGGGTGCATAGATCATATCTTCACTCTTCGACAGATTCTAGAACATAGACACACTTTTCGGCGTTCAACAATTGTCATATTTCTTGACTTGAAGGCGGCCTTCGACTCCGTGGATCGAAAGGTACTATGGCAATGTCTGACTGTGAATGGAATGCCACGAAAGTACATTGCACTAACCAAGGCACTCTATTCAAACTCACGTAGTCGTGTAAGGGCTTATGGGGAATTGTCATCTGAATTGGTAACAACCAGTGGTGTCCGACAGGGATGTCCACTTTCCCCATTTCTGTTTAACTTCATCATAGATATGCTGATGGAAGTATCCTTAACTGAACGTAATGACTTAGGAATCGACCTGTTACCAGGGTATAGTCTTATGGACTTAGAATATGCAGATGACATAGTCCTGTTAGGGGAGGATGCTGACAAAATGCAGAGTCTTCTGAACACCTTGAGCAGCAATCTTTGTATGTTTGGCATGCGATTCGCCCCTACAAAATGTAAGATGCTGCTACAGGACTGGACCACGTCAACTCCTAACTTAGTGATAGGGAGTGAAGTGATAGAACATGTTGACCACTTCACCTATTTGGGAAGTTGTATTAGCACCAACGGACTGATTGGCGATGAAATCTCAGCACGGATCCGAAAAGCTCGAGCTGCTTTCGCTGACTTACACCATCTCTGGCGTAGGCGTGACATCCGGTTATCAACCAAGGGACGTGTGTACTGCTCATCAGTTCGCTCCGTCCTTCTCTATGGCTCTGAAACATGGCCAATACGCGTTGAAGACATGAAAAGGTTGACTGCTTTCGATCATAGATGTCTGAGATCTCTGTCTCACGTTAGTTGGTATAATAAGGTAAGTAATGTTGAATTTAGGCGTAGTGTTGGGCAAAGAGGGAAAATCAATCGACGAGGCTATAAAGTTACATAGATTGAGATGGCTAGGTCACGTGCTGCGCATGCCTAACCATCGCCTCCCCTGACTGGCATTGCTAGCTGATATAGGTGCAGGTTGGAAAAGAGCCAGTGGTGGCCAAACAAAAACCTGGCATCAATCCATGAAATCCTTGACAGTTAAACTGAGTCAAGTAGGGAGATGCAGACTCCCGGATTGGGGGCGTCAGGACTCTAGGAATCAATGGCTGGAGACAATAGGTGACATGGCTCAAAATCGTTGTCAATGGCGCAGATGTATTCAGTCTCTGTAATCTTTCATATTCCTTTCTACCATTACCCATTCTGTTTCACTCTTATACTTGTCAGACTGTATTGATTCTCTTCACTCATCTTCTTGTCTACCTCTGTGTGCTATTTGGAACGTGGCAACTCGAACTGCTGCACTTCGGTGCCAATTTCTATGTTGAATCCAGACAGACAGACAGTTGCGAGTGAATGATCGAGAAGTAGTATGTTTAGTAGATACAGGGGTGGCCGTGTCATTAATAGATAAGAACTTATGTAGTCCGTGTTCATTGACAGTACAAACGATAGGCGGGCATGTGTTACGTATCACGAGTTGATCGAACTGTACGGTCGTTGTTGGCGGCTGCGAGGTGACGTTTCCTTTCATTGTCATACCCGAACTACGGCGAACGATACTAGGAGCGGATCTTCTGCGTGAGATTGATGCAGTAATCGACACGCAAGCGAACGTTGTTCTCACGAAATACGGGCATATCAGCATGTATGGGACCAGCGAGATAGCAGCGGGACCCATACGGCTATTGCGTTAAGGTGAATCATGAAATTCCGTTAAGTGATCCGAAAGTAAGGTCATTTACAACGCGAAGAATACCATGTCACCTGGAAGGCGAAGTGGAGCGACAAGTGCAAGAGATGTTAAAAGACGATATTATTGAGGAAGCTGATAGCCCGTACAACTCTCCAGTGCTGTTAGTAAAAAAAGCGAATGGGAAAAATAGATTCTGTGTTGATTTTCGACGGTACACAATATGACAGAGTTAAGACCGTGTGCCATGCCAACAGTGGTAGAAACTTTAGATCGCCTACAAGGTGCGAGTGTGTTTTCGGTTCTCTATCTTCGCTCAGGATACTGGCAGATACCGATAAAACAAGGTGATAGAGATAAGACGGCATTCATCGTGGGCCAGACACAGTATCGATTTAAACGCATGCCGTTTGGACTAGCAGGTGCACCGTTTACGTTCAGAAGACTGATGACGCTATTACTTAGGAACTTGAAAAACGTGGAGGTGTATGGTGATGATCTCGTCATATACAGTCAAAACGAAAACGATCATGTGAAGCATGTAGAAGCCGTGCTGCGACGCATCGAAGAGTTTGGACTGCGCGTCAACAAAACCAAGTCTCAGATAGCCAAAAAGAATATTACTCTGTTGGGACATAAAGTGGGAAATGGTGAGATTAAACCACTACCCAGAGCGAAAGTATTCAACGATAGAGAAAGAATGTTTAGCAATGGTATGGGCAGTCGACAAAGGAGACCTTATTTTCTCGGCCGGCGCTTCCACATCGAAACTGATCAGAAGCCGCTTCAGATTTTGAACACAGCGAGAGACTCACGGGGGAAATTGTCACGGTGGATGTTGTGTCTTCAAGAGTACGATTTCACGATCTCACACGTTCCTGGAAGTGAAAATGTCTTGGCAGATTTATTATCGAGACCAGAAGACGAGTCTGAGTTGCCCGACGTCGCTTACGGAGTGCATACAGTAGAACAAGACCCACTAAGACTTGCACGCAGGCAAAGGTTGGACGATACGCTGAATACAGTAATACAGGTGATCACCAACGGAATAGAAGTGGATCAAACTACGGCGAGTAAGGAGCTAACCACACTACTCAGACAGAGGGATCGACTCAGAGTGAATGCCTACGGGACTCTGACCTGGCGAGAGAACGACGGAAGCTGGCTGGCTGTCATACCTCAATCGTCGCGCCACGACATGATAGAAGAATGTCACCAGCTGGCACATACAGGCGTGTCCAGAACAACCGACCTCCTAAGACAAAGTATGTACTGGCCAGATATGAGAGAAGACGTAGCAAGGTACGTACTTGGATGTCCACGGTGCCAGCTAATGAAAGGTGACCGGTGCATACGACCACCGCTTCAGTCGATTCCACTTACGGCGATAGGTGACTTGTGGTCCGTAGATGTCATGGGTCCATTTCCTCAGACATCCAATGGTAATCAGTACTTCTTGGTGATGACGGAACACGCGACACAATGGGTAGACGCCGTAGCAATCCCAGACCAGCGTGAAAAGACCGTCACAGACACAGTCGTTAGACACATCGTTGCAGACCACGGCGTACCAAAGACAATACTGACAGACCAAGGTCCCTGTTTCGGAAGTGAAGAATTTGCTTCCCGTTTGCAACAGCTGTGCATCAAGAGAATCAGAACGACCCCATATCATCCACAAACGAATGGCCTAACGGAGAGAAACAACCGTACACTGAAGGAGTGGCTGGCATCGAAGAGCGGTAACTAGGAAACGGAGCTTCCACTGGTTTTGCTAACACATCGTGCTACCACTCAGGCAACAAAGAAGAACTCACTCTTTCAACTGATGTATGGTAGAAAACCACGATTACCGATACACAACGAGACCTGGCCCATGCACCAAAATTGGAGTATGACGAAATTAAAAGCAGAGAGGAAAGAGGCAGTCAAGAATGTAATACGGAAGCAGCGGAGTGATGTCGCGAAGTCTCAGCTGAAAGAAAAGACGCAGTGCATTACCTTTGCAGTCGGGGACCAAGTGAAGTGTAGAGACAGAAGATATACAGTTGGATGCGGGCCAGGTTCACGGAAACTCCTTCCAAAGTGAGAAGGACCATACACAACCACAAAAAGACGGGGTCAAGAATATACCAACCGAAGAGGTGACAATCAGAAACGAGTTAACGCCAGTCAGCTCCAACAATGGGTACAGTGGGACAAGGCGGTCAGTAACAATCCTCAACTAGAGGATGTATCACCCAGAAGGTCGGAACGCCTGCGCGCGGAGCTATTTGACGGGGGGACGAGTGTGGTGAAAGCAGGCTAGCCAAAAATTGTAGACAGCAGTTTACGTGAATGGGTATGTCGCAAATATTGGTGGTGAGGAAATATGAACCAGACGGATTCAACAACCAATCACAGCAGACTTGGCGTAGGCAGATACAGTCAGCATATAGATGGCCTGACATTCAAGAAACAGTCACAAAGAGATGCAAGGTCAACCTTCTGTAAGAAACAACCAATCAGAAGACTGTGTTTGTCTGCTTGAATAAGCTACAATAATGTACATGAAATGTATATAAATACGTGCTGATTTCCTTAATAAACGATCTGTTGCGTGGCCCTTGTCTTTTGTCGTTACATATATAGTGTCAATAATTAGCTGCGAGTAGTATTTTCAGTGAATAATAAATGCGTGTGCCGCAATGGGTGTTATTGATCATTGATTAGTTGTGTGTATATGCTTCTGTGAATGTTACGGAGCTGTAGCTCAGTGGTTTAGACGCTTGACTTAAAACCACTCGGTCTCGGGTTCGTATCGCGCTTCACCTACGAAGATTCCGGCAGCCAGACAGTACTACACAATTGGTATGACTTATTGCCAACTGTATTGAAGTGCTATTGGCTGTTGAGTATCATTTCCTTCTTTTTCCAATGAATGATGTACTTTTGGGTCCTCCTTTAAAATGACCTAATGTAATCTACCGCGTATTCATCATAGCAAACAGATACACAATCTTTTAAATGGTTTACTGTCTGGAATCGATGAAGTCTTGGAATTCGGCTTACGTCTACGGAGTTGTTTTGCACTTAAGCGGTGTGGTTTACAAGTAAATTTGAAAGATAATTATCACTGATCGAAATTTATGAATATAGTTCTCTTGCGTGCTATTGTCTTTCAGTAAAGAACACTTGTGGACTTGAAGAAATTGATGTCCTCGTGAAAATGTGACGTTGTCTTCACAACTATCATAAAGCTACTCAGTTGACGGCTAATATTAATTTTCTAGGGATCAGTCGTATGTAGAAAGTGTGCAGAATCATGGACACTATCATATGAATAATTATTCATCTTATTGTTTCTTTTTCCATAGGATCCTGAAACAGCTATAAGAACAGCGTGTGAAGATTGTCTTTGGATGGATGCTCATCGATTGGTAATACTTTCATATATGTATATTTTTCCATCGTATTTGAGTGGATTTCAATTTAATTTTATATGATTTAAGTTACAGTGTTGTCTCAAAGGCAACCAACTTCTATGACCTCTTTAATAGCATTAATACGTGTAAATGTTATTTCTTGGTCAGTTTTTGTTTGATTTATTGTATGAATATAATGCTTTTGTCGTTCACTCGAAGCACGATTTTAATAAGTTGTTTTCAATCTTAGAAATCCATAACCAGTTGGTTAGTGGGTAAACAAGATTTTGAATTAACAATCCTTTTTAGTGTGTATTAAGATAAACAGAATGAAGCAGTTTTAAAGTTTTGCGTGTTAACAAGCTATGCAACGAATAGTGAAATATCCCATCAATCATTATTTTATGATCTCCTTTAGTTGATTAGTGTGCCAGTCGTGATTTAGCATTCTCCGTGTGTATATTTTGCTCTTCAAGCACGTATACAAACAGGTCAATAGGAGAAAAGAAACTGTCTATATATTGCATTGTCCTGCATCAGTCATCAATTCACACTCCTTAAATTTTCCGGTTGAATACTTTCGAAATACGATCAGCTAGCTTAGTTTGGCAAATCAGGCAATAGTAAATTATGTATTTTAGTGTTTACTGAGGAATTACTTTCAAAACAATGAACTCTGTTTACATAAGATTTGAGATAATAAAAATTGTCTATCACGCTGTGCATACGATGCAATCATCAATCAAATTACAATTGTGATCAGTGTTTCAAATGATTATTCGTTATATGTATAAACACTTGCACTGAGTTTTGAACAAAGCGTTTAATTAATCCGAATATTTTGAATTCTATGAGGAATAATATCAGTGACTTACTGTGTTGAAATTTAACATATGATGGCATGATATTCAATCCTTACAATTGATATATATATATATATATATATATATATATTTTATAGGTGGGAGTTGTTGTTAATGTGTGTATGGCTTAATGTAGAATGATGAAAATTACTAGTCGTTCAAACTGCTTGAATCTGCTAAACAGATATAATCTCAAGCTATAGTATTCTGCTTGTATTATATGGATGGAAGGTTACAATCATTCAATGCTATGCGCCTAAGAACGTCTCAAAACAAGAGAACAAGGAGTATTTCTAAAAAAACTACAAACAGTAATGGACAACGTCCCAAATGGCGATATCAAAATCCTGATGGGTGATATGAATGCGAAGCTGGCAGGAGACAATACAGGAAGAGAACTCACCATGGGTCGTGGGGCCCTCGGTGAAATGAACGACAATGTCTGTTTATGTAAATTAGATGTGTTGAATGGCTGCAAATCCGAGATTTGATGACAAGAATTTGGTTCGATGAATAACATCAGCTTCGATAGCTGTTCTATGCATCTACAACCCCAGTATCATCCATTATTTCTTTCCATTATCTCTTTATCATGGAATATTCATTTTAGAATGGTGATGTAACCTTAACATTTGTCTGATTACCAGAATACTTCTCAGTTCATAGTGTAAGAAAGATTATCTTTGTTTTATTTTGTTTTTTCCCAGGCATCACTATACAAAAAGAATGATTTCCTTAATCAAATTTTGAAGTCATATTTAATTGAACACCATTCTGTACTCAAGGAGAGGTTACAGAAAGCAATTGATGGTTTCGATAAATTATTTAGTAGGTTAATGATACTTCGTCGTACGCATAAAGAGCAAGCCGAAACACAACGGTTTGCTCAAATGTATGGTGATATAGATAATTTTGGTAAGTTTTCATCTTATGTTTGTGTATGTTGAGATTTCTGTAGAGATTGAATTGATATTCCTGGGAAGGGTCTCTAACTTCACACCCGACCTTCTTTTTTTCCCCGGCGTATGACCGGCTTGTTAATTTAGCTAGGATAAAATATATTTGGATAAAGTCACAGTGTTTGTTATACAGTAATATTTACTGATGACTACGTTTCGAGCACACCTTATTGCTCATAATCACATCAAGTTATCCACACAACTTTACAGTTTCGTTTTTGATTCCACTATTTTTCATTTTTTGATGAAGCAAGAAAGTTGTGTTAGTAACAATTGTATTTACATTCAACAGAGAATTCATTAAACCAATCGAATACTCGTAATTATGTTCTAGAAAATGTTGAATGTAATATGAAAAATTCTTTACATGGGAATGCGAAAGTGGAGGATTGAGAAACAGAAGATGGCATTATTCAATAAATCAAAGTGACCTAATAAATCTGAATGCATAAAATGGACAAAACATAGTGGGGAAATAAAAGCTTCAATGTTATGCATAAACAATAATAATCATTGTCATAATTATGTAAGCGAAATACTAAGTAATAAAATAAAATAACAGTGATATAATCAACTTCTAACAAATAATTTCAGCTTTCAAAACTTACTTCAGATAACACGATCACAAGTGAATTAGGTAGAAGCATTAAGTATATCTTCCAACTTAGTATACGGAAAAAACAACTTATAGTGTGCCTGTCATTCTACATTATTTTGTCCATATTTATATTTCACACTTACATTATGTTTTGTGGTAATTTTCGCCTCATAACGAAGAGTGGAACCCGAATGGGAAGCGGTGGTGCCTTTAGTTGAAACGATACTTCCTAGATAAGTGAAGGAAGTAAACCCTTCCAAATTTATTCCGTTAATAGTGATTGATGCTTGTTGTTTTTGGTTGGTGGTTATATTCACCACTTCCGTCTTGCCTCTTCTTTCTTCCTAAGAGAGTTGCACAGGTTTCTTCAGTGACGCAACATAGTGCCTCCGACTTTCCTCTGATGGTTACAGTGAATGCGTCCTTTGCACTTTCATCCCTCAGTTTCTGAGTATTGAACCTCCAGCTCTTCTGAAGGCTCCCAATTCGCCCCTGAAAGCTCCGTGTTCTAGATAAGAGGTCTGAGCCGACATCTGCTCCTCTTCTCGATTTTGTGCCTAGCAGGTTGGGTCGCCACTTTCTTGAGATTGGGATGAAGTCCATGTGACTTGTGATGTGTCCGTCAGGTGAAACCCATCTCGCCTTGTGTGTATCCCTATGTTTTTACACACTACCTCTAGTCACCAAATCACAGAATTCTGCGAAGAGTTCTCCGTTCTCGTTAATTTTTGCAAGAGCCTCTTGACCCTTGGTAAGTGACTGTCCAGTCGACTGTCGGAGAGTCGACATCCATTCCACCTGGTCTCACAGATTCCTATCACTCCTGTGGTATTCTGATTTCTTTTGCAATCTGAGCAGCCTTCTGAGCTTCGTATGTTGTACGAACATTCCATGTCCCAGTTTTTATTTCTACTTGCATCGAAAGAAGAAACGTTGGCTGAATGGCTTCCCGAATGCTTTCACCAGCCTGTGTCATTCCGTCTCTTCGATTCCAGTGAAGAATAGGTTTATTTTTTATGAGATTGTAGTTTCTGTAGCGACTGGGTTGATTTTTGAGGTTATGGTCTCTTTCCCCACATCCAACCTCCCCTCTTTTTCCGGACTTAGAGACCGTCGAGAAAACTAATGAGCTATTAAACTTTTCGAGTTTATCAGGTAAATGGAATAGGTCAAATTAATAATGGTAGTTCATTGACTCAATGCATACGTCTTGGGACTTATCCCGTCATCTGTATTAATCTCTTAAAGTCGTCTACCGCATAGCAACTTATCTTAACTTTACCTTAGAAATGGATTTGTATCGCTAATCAGTCATACTTTATCTAAATTCCGATTGTGTATATCTTAGGTAGGGATTAACAATTGATTGTTGCGGCATACATACATGCAAACACACACACACCATTGTATACCGCATGTACTTATTTTTCGAATATTCACTTTTTTATTACCATGATCTGTAGTCGAACGTAATCACTAAAATCCTGATGAAAATGTACATGCTGTTAACAATTTTTAACAAAGTTAGACTTATATTTGTAAATTAAAACACTTAGTCCCTTTGTTAAATTTGAATAAGCATTTAGAAGACAGATTTCGCGAGATGAGATCATTTCGGAGTTTCTTTACAACCGCTTTATATGGTTCATAATAATAAAATAAAATGCATGGCAATTACTCAGCTACATAAAACAAAAGTACATACTAATGACCAATCATATTTATGTAGGTCACGTAGTCCATGGTAGGCGAAGGTTGAAATCAATAGTTTTTCGTACACATAGTTTAAGATGTATGTGATTAATCTAAAGTGCTTCCATTACATAAAGTATAATTGTATTTCAATAGTTTATACACAATGATAAGTTTTGTTATTGGTAATATTTCGAGCGAAGTTACTTCCCATTTTCTCACTACTGTTGGAATCGTTTAGCTTCCATCACCTTTAATAACCAAACTCGAATTAGAGTTATGTGAAATAATTGTGAAGCAGTCACTAACTATTGCTTATAATCATATCAAGTTACTCACATAATTTTTTATATACATGTACATGTGTGGAATTGACTAGATATTTGAATAAAAATCAATATGGGATAACGTACATTCAGAAATAATAATATGAATGTACTTTATCCCATATTGATTTTTATTCAAATATCTAGTCAATTCCACACATGTACATGTATATAAATAAAGAAAAAAATGTTATGTGAGTAACTTGATATGACTATGAGCAATAGTTTGTGCTCGAAAGGTTGTCATCAGTTAATATTACTGTATAACACTGTGTGATTTCAAATCTTTAAATATTTCCATTTATAAGCGAACAATATTGTTCTCAATTAGATCTTCTTCAGGCTTTACTCTAATTTACATAGATTTATGTATAAAAAATTTTAACCAATGACGGTGGTTTTGTGGATCAAATAATAATAATGTGGTAAATGTTATGAACAAAGTTAATAACTATGATTATAATGATAACAAAATATTGATAATAAGGTTTATGCAATCGATAAAAATAACAATAATATGTGTATGTAAATTAGAGTAAAGCCTGAAGAAGATCTAACTGAGAACAATATTGTTCGTTTATGTCTTGTTCTAATACTGTGATTTATCAAAATAAAATCTCATCCATAATGAAGTTAAACGTTGGAATTACTCATTTCAATTTCGCTGAGATTTTACATATGTCTTCTTCATTTCTTTTTGTATTTTATCAGACGATAACTTTACCGAATCGGAAACGAATTCAGATGTTAGCAGTTTGTCGGGAGACAGTATAACCAGCTCAATGAGTCAAATGAGTTTACGAACAGCAGGATCAAAGAAGTCAGGGTATGCTTAATGGTTTTTTATTCATTTGTCCACATGAAAGTGCATTTAAACTTTTCAGTTTTAGCACATAATATCTCGTTTGAATTAAGTGGCAAACCTAAACAATGTTTAGCCTTATAATATACACCTTCGCATATACTATGTAACACTACGGTTTCTAAGATTACTCAGCATCCAAGGTGGCCTGTTTACAAAGTATGTAAATATAGACAAACAATTAGCCGGTAAGACATTGAGTCGCCACTGGTAGATATAATAAAGCAGCAGATAATTGTGTTCTTACTTAAATAACCTATCAGATGTCATCCACGCATTGTCTCAGTTTTAGCGTTCAAGGAACAATTAAATTTTACTCAGTGGATATATATCAGCTCAACAATATACATCAAAATATACTCATGAATCATTACGTCATTCGGAATTTAAGTCTGTAGACTTCAAAGAGGAGAGCTTTAAAAAACTGTCCCGTGAATATTTACGAATAATATATTGTTCGTAGTAAAAACACTTTTGCTGAGTATTCGCTTTTCGTAACAAGTTAACGTCGTTCAAAAAATTAAATTTAAACTCTTGATTTCAAATTTTCTAAGTATTTGTTAAAAACAAAGTTTTAACTTTCGAATTCTCTAAAAATCTGTTCAAATGGTCTGTAATAATGTACACGCAGTTGATACAGTTGAGTTGTACGAAAATGTAATCTTATTAAAGTTTATTCTGTATTTTCATATGAAAACTCGTCGGTCAGAAATGAAATTAGAATTCGTCTAAATGTGGTATTAAGAAGTTAATGAATATAATGTCTCGTTTATATGGAAATATATGTGACGGTAATGTTGTTACTTTTTGAATTTCTGATTTTACAAGTTTGACATCAGTTTGAGAACCGGTGAAAATCAGGGAGTACTGGACACCCAGTTGTTTCGTCCTAGTCAGGCACTCATCGGCAGTACGCACTCACTGGTTTTCAGTGGTTCTCTAATTGATATCAATCAGTAGTCAAACTTGAAACAAATGAACTCCTACCAACTACCTCTTGATAATTTCAGATTTTATTAGCAGAGATTTCGACGTCAAGTTAGGCGTTATTTTTTTAGAGCTTCTTCACAAGAAAGTGGATGAAGCACATTTGCCTCAATATTCATATGAGACGTCTCGTCTTTTCAACCAGATAACATGATTTCCTATTATTTTTATTCTGTAATAGCCTTCCTTGAACGTCAGGCTTTTATGAGTTCGTTCACTTAGAAATGGCTTTTCCTAAGATTTCGAAACTTCTTCAGTCTACTCTTTAACTGTGGTTATTGATGTGTTTTGGAATAAGTAATGTGATATTCTGATGTCTTATATTCACGGGTACGCTGTGTAATCGAGAGACCAGATTGTAGGAGATAATAACGGTCCTGCTATTTATTACACTTAAGAATTCTTGTTTGGTTGTCGTTTTAGTATAATGATAAATAAGACCGTACTTTGCATCATTCTTATATGTATTACATAAATCTATAACGTTCTTGACTGAATGTTTAACTTTCAACCAGTTAATAACAGGCTTTGATAACCCCTCATGTATCAAGATTCGAACAGCAAAGAACCGTCATTACCTTTAATGCACTATAGTTATGGTTAATTACTTGAGTTCCCGTGCTTTCATTTCTTTATCAAAAGTAAAAGATAGTTTTGACACTGTTGGTTCATTCAAAGCAATAATTCCAATGTGTAGTCATCAACAGAAAAAAAATTTCGGTTTTTAAGTAAAGGCTGATAAGAAAAAGTTAGTAATAATTTGACAACCATTCCTTGCATATTTTGTTTTCCTTATAGACGATCAATGAAAGCAAGACGAAAACAAGAATCAAAGAAATGGAGCTCAAAACCTGGTAATAAATATGAAGAAGTTGGTCTTCTGTATGAACTTACACAGTCGGTTGAATTGGGTCAAACTCTTGCTAGTAAGTTGTAATTATTGAAAAGAAACATATATGAATGTTAATCCTAATAGAGAAGATTTGATTTAGTTGTGTTTTCTGAGATGGTTGACTTCTTTGCGGAGCTTTTATTATCCTTCTAGACACCATCTTCAGTGCAGATTTCAGTGTGAAATTGACTTATTTGAATCCTCTATGAATGTTATAATTGTACCTTCTTACAGACAACCTTTGTCGTGATTGCTTGTTAATTTACATTTCTATTGACTTGAAACTTGAACTTTCTGAGCCTGTGATTTACTTTATATTCGTTGGTAAATTTGATCTATAGTAATGTCCTTGTTGATGGCTGATTCATCTGAGTATCAAACTACTCGGAATTCTTTGTGTTTCCTCTGTTTAAGATTTCTACATTCTCCCGATCGGATTGATCGCCGTGATTGTCTACATGCATCGACATGAGAGAATACATATTGTACCTTTTCACAGCTAGTTTACTTTCTTGGATTCTGATTTGAAAGGGATGTCCACTTTGACCAATGTAGTGTTTATCGCAGTTTATTTTGTGAATGGTACTGGTCTTATCTTCTTTTGTTCTGCACAATAGTGAATGAAGTAATTGTGTGCTATGATGATTTCAAACAGTCTTGGGATTCTAGCCGTTATTTCAGGTATATTCCTTAGGTATAGTAGAATGAACGTTGTTGTTTTCTTTGAGGACGGTTTCTTGTTGGTATTTCGATTTGAGTTTATGCATTTTCGATGAAATAGTATAGGCATTCATTCTTCTTGTTGGCATTTCTACTCTATTCTCTTCAGCACTGGATTGTTACTGTTTGAGCTTTTCTCAACAATGTTTGTACACTAGGTTTGTTATGGTCTGTGTCAGTAATCTGTTACAGACCTGTCGTCAATTAATATGCTATATTAATATTCAATTTACTAATATGACTGAGTGTACTGACGCATGGGTATAATAATACTAACCTAGTGAACAACTCAACTGATATGCTAAATACACCTATTCTTCCGTGTTACTTTCCGCTTCGCTGAGTCACGTAAATATCATAAGATAAAAACTGGCTTGTAACTATTAAGATGCAATTTTATTAGGAAAAACACATTCTATTTATATATTCTTTCACCACATTAAGGTGGCTCCAAGGTAGTGGAAATAGATTAATCCAGTTGATAGGCGATTCGCTTAAGGTAGGCAAGAGATATTTGGATCGGTTGGCGATTTGACCGAAGTGAGAAAAAGAGATGAAATTCCACAGTCATCCGATCACACGATGACTGATGAGATGATTACAACTATAAGCTGATTCCTATCAGGGTTGTTGCATTTATAATCGAGTATGTGATCTGTTTGTGTTGATCTTCAGTAGACTTGTGTTTCCGTATTTCCTGTATGTATTCTGTTGATTAAGACATCTAAGAAATGAATTTTGTTTTCCAATTCTTCTTCTCTTGTGAATTTGATGTCTTCAGATATACTGTGGATTGATTAGTGGGTGTATTCCAAACCATTTCCTTTAGTTATTACGAATGTATCACCATAACCTACCCAGATTTTTGCCTTATTTATGGGCAGTGTTATTTATGCCAATCATTGCATAACGGCTTCAGCCGTTGATCCGGATATGGGCGATCCCATTGGTGTTCCTTTTATTTGTTCGTATATTTGATTGTTGAATTGGAAACATGTTGTTAGGCATAATTCTATGAGTTTTATCGAAGTTGAACACTGAGTTTTTGTGTGCTCGTCTCTATAGAGTCGTTGTTGAATAGTTTCTTTTGCTCGCATGGGACCAATGTTTTTCTTTAGTTTTGGTTTATATATGTGGTAGAGAAATTTATATCAGTTAAACAGTTTTCGTTCAATGAAGTGTTATTTATGTTTGAGCGATATTTTTTAATCAAACTGTCTGCCTGTATACCTCTATTATTATCAGTGAATTTCTCTTCTTTCAGATGACGTTACTAATGCAGTTGTAGAATTCTGGGATTTCAGTTTGTATGAAGAGGGTCGAACATTAGTTCATCTAATCAATGATCTATTGAGGAGGCAAAGACAAGGAACACCTCATATATGGGATGATTGGATAATCGGTAAAGTAAGTTAACCGTGATAATTATATAGTTCAGCGAAGAAAATTTTCTTTATCGACCAAATCATCTTCAGAGACTGTACAGTCCTATTTATACTTACCAAAAATGTATAGTGGTCTCCCTAAACTATATTTTAATGTAACAACCCCCTTCTCAGGCATGAAGCTAGCAACCCCACCCTGTAAACAAAGTTGCTACAGAAACTACAGCACGATGAATCTCCTTGCGCCAAAAGTAAAAGTCTGTGTGGGGACACGGAACGTCCGCACCATGTAGGAGATTGGCAAAGCTGCCCAGATCTCAAACGAAATGAAAAGATACGGAACTCAAGTACTGGGGATATGTGAAAGCAGACAGAACGGGAATGGACTCACCAAATTGTTAACAGGTGAGTCAGTGATCTACTCCGGTCACCCAGAAGATAACCACAAGCACACCGAGGGCGTGGTTATCATGATGTCACCAACAGAAACAAAGGCCTGATGCAATGGGAGGCGATCTCGTCCAGGATAATGACCGCCAGATTCAACTCCAAAGGAAGGAAAGTGTCAATTATACAATCCTATGCACCCACAAACAACGCAGACCTCGAAAAGAAAGAAGAATTCTACAGACAACTACAGGCAACAATGGACAATACTCCAGCTGGTAACATTAAAATACTAATGGGAGACATGAACGCCAAACTGGGACCAGACAACACAGGAAGGGAACTCATCACGGGTAGAGAAGTTCTTAGAGAAATGAATGAAAACGGAGAACTCTTCGCCGACTTCTGCGCCTTCAATGAACTAGTGATTAGTGGCAGCGTATGCAAACACAAAGATATCCACAAGGCTAGATGGGTGTCACCAGATGGGTGAACCAAAAACCGAATTGACTTCATCTCAATGCTGCTCAAGGAAGTGGAGGTGCAGCCTACTGGACACAAAAGCAAGAAGAGGAGCAGACGTTGGTTCAGACCACTATATCGTACAAGGGACAATCCAAGTCAAATTAAAAGCTCTCAGGGAAACAGGAGCTGCAGATAAATCACAAGCCAAGTTCAACACTCAAAAACTGAAGGACCAGGCTACAAAAGACATCTTCACTGCAAACATAAGGGAAAAAGCCGAGACACAAATCAACACCAGCGGAAAGGTCGGCGTCGAAAAGCACTGGGACAACTTGAAAACGGTGTAGAGTCACACCTGCATGGAAGTTCTAGGCAGAAAGAAGAGACAGGACAAACAGTGGCTCACTACGGACACTTGGAAACTAATAGAAGGAAGAAGGATGGTGAAACAAAAGATTATTCAGTGCACCGACGAGCAACAAAAACAGAATTTGAATGCAAGCTACAATACACTGAACAAAAGAGTAAAGAAGAGTGCCAGGGAGGACAAAAGAAAATATTATGAAGTCATGTCAAGTGAAGCAGAACAAGCTGCAGGCAAAGGAGACCTCCCCACACTCTACCTAACAACTAGGGACCTATCGGGCAAAAGTTCCACGAAAATTAAGCCAGTGAAGGATGATAATGGAAAGTCAATCACCAAAGAGGTGGAGCAAAGAAAACACTGCGCTGAACACTTCAAAAGACTTCTAAATCGACCGCCACCTACAACGCGCCCAATAATACCAACGACGGAAGCAGAACTATCAGTGAATATTAACCTCCCGACGAGATCAGAAGTCCTGAATGCAATCAAGATGCTAAAAGCTGGAAAAGCAGCAGGACAAGATGGAATTTTCGCAGAAGCATTAAAATGGACCCAGAGACAACAACGGACCTGATGACGCCATTACTGGAGAAGGTGTGGAAAGAGGGCAAAGTACCCGAGGATTGGAAGAAAGGCTACCTATTCAAACCGACAAAGAAATGAGACTCAGGTCAATGCAAAAACTAGCGCGGAATTATGCCCCTGTCAATTCAAAGCAAAATACTAAGCCCCATCATCCTGGAGAGAAGCAAACAAGCCCTGGATGAAAAAATTCGACCGGAACAAGCTGGATTCAGGAGAAATAAGTCATGCATCGATCAAGTCGCCACACTACGGATCATCATTGAACAAAGCTTGGAATGGCAGTCAGCTCTTTATCTCAACTTCATCGACTTTGAAAAGGCCTTCGACAGCGTCGATCGAGAGGTGATTTGGCAACTACTTCGCTACTACGGGATGCCTCCAACAATTATACATCTCATCCAACAGTTGTACGACAATGCTGCATGCCAAGTAATCCACAACGGGAAACTTGCGGAATCCTTAGAAGTGAGGACGGGAGTAAGGCAAGGCTTCCTACTATCGCCAATGATCTTCCTGATAGCAGTAGATTGGATAATCCGATAGAGAGCGGGCAATGAGGAAACTGGCATAAAATGGACTCACACAAAAAACTTGGAGGATCTGGACTTCGCCGATGATATATGTTTGATTTCCCACAAACTAGATGATATGCAAGTGAAAAGCAACAAGTTGGCAGAAGAAGCATCAAAGATAGGACTTCAGGTAAACATAGAGAAAACAGAGGTGATGAAGATTCCTGGCCAACAGCAACAGACAACAATCAGCATAAATGGGAGGAACCTGAAAGAACCAACCTCCTTCATCTACCTGGGAAGCATCGTTTCAACTACAGGCGGAACTGACGAGGATATCAAAGCCAGAATCGGCAAAGCAAGACAATCTTTCATTACTCTCAAATCTGTGTGGAGGTCAACAGCACTCAGCATCAAAAATAAGATCCGGATTTTCAACTCCATTGTGAAGTCAGTGCTACTATACGGATCAGAGACTTGGCGCGTCATAAAGAGCATCTCAAACAAACTACAGACCTTCACCAACAGTTGTCTTCGCTCAATACTCAAGATTAGATGGCCGGTCAGAAAAGATCAGCAACAGGGATCTCTGACAATGAGACTACCAACCAGGAACCGATTGTGAAACAAATAGGCAGGAAGAAATGGAGATGGATTGGCCATGCGCTGAGGAAACCATCAAGTGACATCACTAGACAAGCCATTGCTCGAGTGGAACCCGAAAGGGAAGCAGCGAGTTGGTCGTCCAAGGGTGACTTGGAGGGAGGTCATGTGAAGAGGAGACGAAAGCATGTGGGCAGACTTGGAGCCAAGTGAAAACAAAAGGCGTCAGGTTTCGTCTTTTGTGTATGGCGGAGGCGCTGGCAATTCGTCAATACAACCCCGAACTCTGTATACAGAAAACGTTTGTCCAGTCTCTTATTCTACCTTGGTCTTAATCTCGTGACTAGTCGTTCACTTTTTAAAAAAATTTGATTTTCTCTTTTCCTTTTTTAATTTTACTTTTAGTTTGCTTTTTCTCTAATAATTAGTTGACTGTTATCTCATATGTTCCTTCTGTGCATTTTCACACCCTTTTAACACCTGTTAAATTAACACTGAACTACCTTTCTTCTCACTCAATAGCAATTTTAACCTTATCGATATTTTATTTTTGTGTCGTTGAGTACCACGTAATTTAAAACTTTTAATTTTTTACTTCTAAAGCCACTTCCGAGTAATTATATCAATTATGTCAAATCAACGGAGTTGTTACCATATTAGTAGAAGTGGCTGAATAATTTTTTTGTACGTATAGTTCTGGTTCTTCTAGCAGAATGGCTAGGGCTTCTGCAATGCACAGAAGACGGAAACGTATTGTCTTTGACAGGTTGTTCTTCACTTTATAGATTACTCTGAAGGAGGCGTTTGTTGAGATGGGATGACCAGTGGTGACGAGATGTTCGATTATTGCACTCCTTATGTGGCGATTGCTTCCTTTCCGGGGCCACGCTGGATAGTGTTCTCTGACCCTTTCTGACAGGATGCGCATCGAATGACTGATGTACCTGCCTCCACAGCAAAAGATGGACTGATATATACACATAGAAGTGGTCAGGTACGAGATCTTGTCCTATGGGCTTCTGCAGATCAGCGGGTGACCGGAGAACACTACTCTCAGTGTTGCCGCGAAGAAAGTTCTTAAAGAAGTGGGAATTCTCCTCTTAGGGATATCACTGAGTAGGTTACCTTTGAAGTCGAAGTTCATATGAAGTATATTTTCTGGCACGGATGGCGTCTCTTGCTTTTGGATTTCTTTCAGGAAGTGTAGTTCTTCCAGGGTATCAAAGCCGCAGACGCGTTGGACGCTAGTAGCAAAAGATCTAATTAGGTTTCGTTTTCGAATGATTGCTATCCAGCTGTAGAAACTTTTCAGTCGGCCGTTCCATGTGGGTTACCTATGGATGGACCTTCTTAAAGTTCTGTCAGCTCTTCTCGTAAGTTCAACATCAAGAAAAGGAACTTTAGATCCGTTTTTTATTTCAAGAGTGAACTTTGCAGCTGAGTGACATTTGTTGAATATTTGTAGTAGCTGAAGCGGTCTGCTAGTAATGGGCCCTGTGGGAATCCCATCTTGTTGTCTGTAAATAACATCGTTGAATGTGAATTGTACACTAAGGGTACATCTCAGTAGTAGTTCTTTTAAACAAGCTGTCGGTAATCCGTTGTTCAGCTGGTTTTCGTCTATATATTGACAAATGTGATAGACAGTTTCTGTGAGTGGAACATTTGTAAATAGTGACTCAGTGTCAAGAGAAAGCATATTTTCGTTCGTTACGTTGATATCTTGTATGTAGTCGACGAATTGAAAGGTGTTACGAAACGAATAGTGGCACATCTGTTTTCTTACAGGTTCTAAAATATCAGCTAACCATTTCGTTATTGAATGGTATGGGGAACCTGACATATCTAAAATTGAACGCAGCGGGAGGCCGGCTCTATCTATCTTTGGTAAGCTGCATAGTCTTGGTATTATTGATCCTGTAGGTCGAATGTGATCATAAACTACATAACTGATTAGCTGTTCGGTTTTCGTTCTTTTGAGGACGTCAGTGAGCTGTTTCTCAATCTGTTCTGTTTTATTTCTTTCATTGGGTAGCTGCGAGAATTTAGTTTTATCTAACAGTGTGCTATTCATTTTCTGTATGTAGTCTTTTCTGTCCATAAGGACTACGCCAGCTCCTTTATCTCGACGTGTTATTAGAAGCTCTTTGTTGCATCTCAGTTGATTTAATTCTTCTCTGTGCTGCTTTTGTTAGGTGGTTGTATATCTTCGGTTTTGTATTCAGATATTGATGACAGCAATCGATTATTGTTGATTTGAATCGCTGTAGTTCCTGTTCATAGACTGGAGTTAAATCATTTATTTGGGTCATTAGGTTTTCAAATTGTACATGAGTATGAAGTCTGTTGGCATTTAGGTTGATGTCGCAAAATTTTGGACGCATGGTTAGAGCTCCTAACTGCAAAATGTAATCACATAAACTAGTAAAATAATATACTACGACTACAGGAATAGCATGATAGCAGCGTAAAAGGGCTGATACATCGAGGTTCTATCTCACAACACTCAGATCTGTGAGTTACGTGATGAAATGTAATAGTTGTTTGAATATCAAGAACCAGTCAATAAGCTATTTTTACAAACTGCGCAAACCATCTAACTACTGCAACCACTATGAAAGATAGTTCAGTTTCAAAGGTGAACTGTAAAGTGATGTCTTTATTTATCAATACTTGGTCTGGTGAGAACACTATATCTATTCATATTTAATGAGTCAACAAATCAAAATATAGACATTTTCACATCTGATTGAAACAACTTTTAAACTGCTTCATGAATGTACGTTTTCTGTCTAAGTGAGATTCCTATAGTGTTTGATAATCTGACTACAGCGTCATCACTGCATTCAACTGTGACGAAACTAGAAAATGGTTTTTTGGGGAAAAAAATAATAAATACAGATGACTTCAACGATCGGCTTAACAGCCAACACTTTCAAAAGAGCGATTCTCGAGACTGGAATCAATGGGTGACTATGCTGCTAGAGAAAATGTATTACAAACTCTGAGGATATTTAATGAGACATTTAATGCAGTGAATTTATACTGTTTTTCTAGCTTACCAGTACTGAATCTGTAGAGAAAATGTGTCTAACGTACACTCATCACATAAAATGTACCTTTAAAGCTAGTTACACCAGACATACTGCCAGGCAATTTCGCCTTTGCATTCAGGAATGTCAATAAATAAGTTCAAGCTAAGGTATCGATGGCTTAGACGTAGAATGCTCACTAAATGTGAACGTAGTCCTGTTTGGATTCCCAGCCGACACACTCCTAAACCTCGCCCAGATGGTAGTAAGCCCGGTGAAGAAGGAAGGTTGAAGCTTGAGGCACTATGTTCCACTCGCAAAGCAAATGAAAGAAATAATAAAACAGTTATGACGATGTAGACAAAATTAATCCAAATCTTCTTGCATGACTTGTACATACGAGATAAAGCTCTTGAGACTACTAATATTTCCTTTAGTCTTACTTTTAGTTAACGCGCTTGACTGTTATATGTAGCAGAAGCAGTTGGAATTCCTCTGAATGATATAGCCCCTTCCTTTACTTTGCATATCTACATATTCCTTCTATCCAACTTACAATGTATTACTTATATTTAGTCACTATTATTATTCTTACTTCTGTTAAAAATTCCACTTAAATACTTCATCTCTAATTATTCAAACATGGTCATCAACACCTGACAAATTCTTTCACTCATGTGTAATAACACCTTACTGGTCAGTTTATATCCCAAGTACGCCAACGTTGAAAATTTAATTTAGTTAAAATATCAGTTAAGCATACCATTTCATTAAACGGCATGACATGAACTACCAGTAACTACAGTGATGTGAAAATGTAATTTACAATGAATATGAAGAATAATAAGTGTATCTTTGACTTCACCACAGTCTTACTCGTTACTCACATGAATTTTTTTACCCTGGTCATTTGTTTAAATATTTCTAATGGTGAAGCAAATATGCTCTTTTTCTTTTATTTATTCAACTACAGTGTACAGAAGAAAATGAACAACACTTCTTTGGAAGAAAGAAATATCCTATTCACGGTAAGTGTAATTGGAAATAATTGTATATTACTGCATATATATATATATATGGTATGATAAACTTGTTCTCCTTTTTTTTCTTTCAGAAGCATTCCTGTCATTCCCACCAAAAATGAAAAAGACCACTGTTGAATGTTACTTATTTAAAAATTAATATTTAACTGAGTACATCGTAATTGTGTCTCTTTGAACAAAATAATTTTGTATTGTTAAAAAAAAAGATTCAGAAAGAAAAAACAAACAAAGTGTCTTTTTTGCATACAACACAGCTGGTTAGTATTTCGAAAAAATGACAAGATATAGTAAATGATGAGTTGTTGGTATTATAGTAGACGATGGAAGTAGTTTAGAATTCGTCAATATCTTTTCTACCGAATTTAAACAACATCGAGGATACACATAGCAGTAAATTCTGTAATAGTATAGCTACACCGGGCCATACTGGCTTCTTCCCTGCAGCGACATAACCTCCGAATAGTATCCAGCATGAAGCTATCACACTGCTAAAGGCCATTGAGAAGGCAACGAACAAGCATATTAGAGCTCCACGTCTCCCAATACGACTGTCTGAAAATTCGTCTCTCAACTGTAAGATAGATTATTTTGAAAGTGAATAGTTACTTATAATTAACGGATCATCTTTAATCTCTGAAGATTTAAATGTATAAATTCCATATGCACTAACTCTGGGTGTTAAAGTGTATTTTTGTTGATCGCAATCAGTCACTTGTTGCTAAGTAGAATATACCTCACATTGATGAGAATAGTAACTGGATGCAACTTATTATATGCAGTAAGCAAAGCGTCACGTTTGCAATAAGTAACTAATCTTTTATCTTTGTTGACACCTTATATAACGGCGTCGCTGTAAAACTTAGTACACAATATCAAACGAATGATCCTGGTCGAGGAATAGTTGACCCTATTACGTCAATATGCAAAACTCGTACCTTCTCAAGCATGTGTAACACCACTACTGACGAGTAATAGTATGCAAGGCTAACCTCAAATAATGCCATCTACGTGGTAGATGATTTTGCCACCTTATGATACAGGTAGCCTAACAATATGAACTGAAAATTCGTTAATAATTCACCTAATTCATCTGACTAAATTAGTCTGTAATCGTTTAATGAAAATAATTAAGTGGAAAAATTTAACTTACCACTCCATTTGGAACACTATTAACCAGAATAAAAGCAATAGTGCTAAACACGCCTGCGGTGTGATACGCATTGGGTAAAGCATTATCCTCAGCAAAAAGAACAGCCGCATCAATCGCTATCCACCAGCCCAATGCAAACAGAAATCCTGAAATGATTGATACAACACTGTTGTGAAGACGACTACGGTCAGCATTTCGAAAATTATCCAGGAATTGCATTGATCTATTAGTATTCAGTTCCCAAGTTAATTAATGGTAGGCAGGTAAGGTGAAAACCAGTCTGTATAATTTCAAAATAAATAAATGTATGCTTAGGATGCTGCAAATTTATGTTTGCAATCCTAAGTAAAATGACACAAAATTAATCTCATGCATGTTTCTTCCCTGAACGCTAAGCACGTACATAATTTATTCCTCCTTCACCTATATTACTCAGAAAAAATGTGACTGAAGAAGCATCATAATGAGTAAGTTGATGCATCTCCATCGTTGGAAAGTATTGGTATGTTACCAAATACCATATATAGCTACACTACCTAATTAATGAACAAGCACGGAAAAAGTAACATCTACACTGCTTATTAAAAAAAAGTACTGACTGGTGTACTAAAAAACTGGATTATCAGACTAAATTTAACTTATTCACACAATTTTTACAAGAATAATAAATTGTGTCAAGCCGGAACAGACGAAAGTGATTTCAAGAAGTAGGTTGTTGAACAAAGCAATAACACATGGTGCAGGATAAAACGGATCCATTGTTTATTTCTTCGGTATCATGTCAGTTGCATACAAACTAAGTTGTGCAATTTAATACTTCTGTCATATTTCTAATACACTTTAGTTCCGTGGAGATAGTTCGTGGAACAGTAATTGAGAATGCTCATGGTACATAAATGAATCAAATGTTATGTTAGTAAAATATAGAATATTTCTATACTTATATGTATGGTGTGATCGAAGTTTCTCTAATAAAACAGTGAAAAGTAGACATCGATATATCTGAATAACACAGGACATCAGGCAGACGTCCCGAATTCTGTCAGAATAATAAACAACCAAACTTCTTAGAGGCCATCGCTATCAAACGGCTAAAACGTGTTTAAACAGATATAAGAATAAAACTTGTGCACTGTGGTAGAGTGTAACTCCATTATGGGTAAATTTTGTTTTGATAAAGTCTCACAGCGTTATACAGTAATGTTTACTGATGACGTTTCGAGCACAATTTATTGCTCATAATCATATCAAGGTAATCACACGACTTCCTAAATTCATTTATATAGTTCCATTGTTTTTCTCTTGATTTTCACTTGATTTGATTGGTAATAGTATTTTCCATATTTCAGGTATGAGTGAAGAGTCATTCCAATTGCATGTGTTGGGTGTAGACTCGATGGCAACTTGTTTTTAAATGTACAATTTCCACTCTTAATTACGTCACCACTCGGTAAGCGTCATGATGCATGTCCCTGATATCTGACCGAATGATCTTAACTCAAAGTATTTTTTCATGTCTCATTTATGTATTAGCAATTTCCTACCACTTATTTATCTTAATATCTTGTTGTTACCCGTGCTCCCTATTTCTTGTCTTATTCGAGAAACTTCGATCACACCATACATATAAGTATAGAAATATTCTATATTTTACTAACATAACATTTGATTCATTTATGTACCATGAGCATTCTCAATTACTGTTCCACGAACTATCTCCACGGAACTAAAGTGTATTAGAAATATGACAGAAGTATTAAATTGCACAACTTAGTTTGTATGCAACTGACATGATACCGAAGAAATAAACAATGGATCCGTTTTATCTTGCACCATGTATTGTTACTCCTTTATTCAAATTCATTAAGGAGAATGTGTGTATGAAGTTTAGTAAGTTGTTGAAGTTTAACGAAAGTGGAAAAGTTGATCATTTGTAGTAATGTAGAAACAGGTGCAAATGTTAATTTTTCCAGCCAATTGAATGTACCTGAAGGGAATATGCAAGTGGAATACCCTTGTTACAACTTCGTAAAAATTAAGCCAACTAGGTCACTCTCACCTCAACTGCTAAGTTTGGAATGATATTTTACTTATATAGCCAGATTTGGACGACAATGTGTGAACTGAAACAGTTAAAATACATCGCAGAATAAGTTGATCCCAAATAAAAAAGATTATCCGCTATTTGATATAAACTGACCTATCGGCAATCACCAAATAATGAGTAATTCAGTTATTCGCACACTACAATAGTATAAGATTAGACTGATAATTTCCCCTATATAAGGACTTACTTAAAAAATTTCTAACTAGTTATGCATACAACTCACTTGAAATAAAAGTTAAGATAGCAAATGATAAGAACCGAGTATTCCGGAAACAAACTGTTTTTCGCAGAATATAAAACGATATTAAGCTTCAGCTAATTCGGAGAATTAGTACTAGGATTACAATTCACTGAAGTAGTCAATAAAATTTAATTTATTAAATTTCCTAGTGGATGCTAAAGCGAGAATTTTGAAAACGGAGTGATTTTTAATCCAGCTTTTGTTGTTTGATAGACTACAAGCTTTTATAGGTTTTGAGGTTACTTAGCCGTAGAAAGCGTGCTTTTAGCAGTCTATTTGTATTTTTCATTAAAGTTCTGATCTGTACTGTGGGTAATCTTTGTTTCCTTATAATCGCCACACTTTCCGTGATAAAGCACTTACATTCTGAGAATATGCGTACAAGGAAACGTTGTAGGAGGCTGTGTCACTATCCAGTGAAGTATGTTATGCAATGTGATAACAGCAGTCGGTGGTTGCAAAATATATTCACCAACCTGACCCCTGCAGCATGCAAATGTTACTACAAGCTCCTTGCACATTGGCTGTTTAATGATTGTTGGGGGAATGCTTGATGGGGCACTGACTGCAAAGGTCATCTGTCACAGGGGATAAACAACCTGTGCTCGGACACCAACCATGCTGTTTGAGCCATCGCCAAAAAGAACCCCCGTCGAGACACTTAGCGCCCTCAGAAGGAAAAGACGTAGCGAGAATTGGGGACCAACAGCGGAATTCGCCATTGCAGATATAGCCTCATTCACAGCGCAGGTAGATAGTAAGCAGTCACCACCAAAGTTCGGTGAAGAGAATGGGCATAATTTTGTGACTTGCAGAAAGCAACACAAGACGTATTACCCTTGAAATTTGTAGAAATACCGTTACCTCAAAGCAAAAAGGCTAACCGCACCAAACATGATCGCTTTGACAGGTCACTTATCCCCCATAATGTGGAAGAACCCAAAGTTTTAGACCGAAGGCCGCGATTACTGTCTAGTTGGACAAATTCTAAACAGGTTACCCCCTACAAAGGTAGCAGGCATAGGGTCAGGCTGGAAAAAAGCTAGCGGCGGTCAAACAAAAACTTGGCACCAGTCAATGAAATCCACAACAGTTAGTCTTAGCCATTCACGTAGGAAGGTGTAGACTTCCAGGCTGGGGTCCTCGGGACGGTAAAAATCAATGGTTGGAAACAGTTGGTGACATGGCTTAAAATCGTTCTCAGTGGCGCAGATGCATCCACTCCTTGTGACTTATGATTTCCAATGAAACTGTTTTGTTCTTCGTTATTACTCCTCCTTTGTCTCACACCTCTGCTTACTGTATCTTTTATGCTTTTCTTATACTTTCTTCTCTTGCGTCGTGTGCTACACGAAGTGTGGCGACTTGAACTGCCGCACATTTGTGCAAATTCCTATGTCGAAAACAGACAGAGGCATAGCCTTTTAGTCTGTACAGAATTGGTCAAGAGGCTGACTTTACAGTATTCAGTCGATGCGCCTTCTCAAAATCATTACACTAAAAAACCAAAAAGGGGGAAATTCTCACCCCTAAGGGATCGAACATCTAAGTCGCTGCAGACTTACGTCTAGCAAACAGCAAAAAGGACAGTGCTGCATTGGAGCTAAGAGCACGAAGGCGAGGAAAACAAAGTTATTAAGGGTTTCCGGTGGGTAAAAGTTCGAGGTTTAATGACTCCCAAACTTCTTTGGGTGGTACCCTGAAGCACCGAAATGAACTAACAGTCTGCCCGCAGTTTGTTGCATAAAAGAGCTAAGCCTGGTAGTGCAGTTGACTATATCATTGTCAATACGGAATAATGGCTAACACCTGAAATTAACCACAATGACGATAAACCTCAAAACGTTATTGTGCTCGGGAAAAATACAATAATCTCAGAAGGGTGGAGTAGTTATACCTGGCAAGAAGTACCTAACTTTGCATGGCAAGGAGCTCCCACGTAAGAAGGTGGACTAAGCGAATGATGTAAACTAAAAGACAAAAGAACGAGACTGACCTCATAGCGGTATATCGAAGTTCCAAGAAAATATTTTCGTGTATGGGTCTTAACAATAAGTCTTCCAATGCAGCCTCAAAACTGATTCCGATTAAATCGAAAAGGACAGACAAAAAGTGAAGCAAATTCTGCCTACAAGAGTCGTCACCACTCCTAGCAACACCTTTGGCGCAGCCAGAATGAAACAAAGTAAATTTTACCGACACCGACCAAACCATCGTATTCCAATCCCTAAAGAAACTAGGCAAAACCAAAATTAACGCGATCAGAATACCTACACCCAAGGTTCCTCAAGGAGCTAGCAGCTCACACATTCGGTGCACTACGACCTTGAATGCTATTTCTCTCATGGAGTGTTACTTCGTGATTGGGAAGAACAAATAACAATCGGGTGTATTTGGAAAACAGATTTCTATCCTCAGCATATCATCGTTTCCGGAGAAACCTTTCGTGTCTGACGAACCTTACAACACAGGAAGGTTGATTAAGCCTAGAGACGACAGAAAAATTTGTCGGCATCGTCTCCGTAGATTTCAATGAAGCTTCAAACAAGACTTCCAGAAAACTGGAGAGTTGTAGGGTCAAGAACCACCTGCTAAACTGGATTAAGGAATTCCTCGTAATTAGGACACAAAGTCAAGATCAACTCAAAGCTCTCTTTATCGAAAAAGGTGTGTAGTAGTGCCCCACAAGGCACCGTACACAGCCTCCTCCTATGCATCCTCTATATCAACGAATTACCTAGGCTCACTAAATCTCCCAAAGTACTCTACTCAGATAACCTAAAGATTTGACGAAAGCTTAATAGTGATACCTATATGCTGACACTGGAAGATGTCGACAATATTAGATCGGTTCAGAGAATGGATGCTGTCAAAGATCGTAATGAAGTGCCTACACAAGCACAGTAGACACTCAAGTGTCGGCTGGGAAGACA